TTATATTATCAGAAAGATAATGAAATAAACTAGCTGACTAACACAAAATAAACACGTTTTGATTATATTTGGAGCGGAAACATGAGCTTGTTCTTAGAAGAATTGAAAAATTAACTACTTTGTAGTAAAGATGGAATATATTAGCTACCAAATGTCAATTTTACCAAAAAAACATATTTTTATAAGATTAAACATAAAATTCCCTAAACAAATTGGTAATTTTTATAAATATTGTAAATATAAAACTACAACTTTTTGGAGTTTGAAAAAGCGCTAAAATATCACCACGGAAGCAATTCGCGCGGGTTGATCCCGGTTTTTCGAAATTATACTGTGTCATAATTATAAGGTATAACTTAGCAAATTTTCGTTTGAAATATCAGTAATTTACATATATTGAATATCACGACCAAACTGTATCGTATTAGCAAATAATATAACAGTAATTACCAAGTTTTCAAGATCAGACATCAAACTCACGCAAAAAGTTATGAGCATTGTTTTGTGCACAGTTTTTTCTAAAATTACTATACAATGCCTTTTTATTTACAGTTAAAAAAACTTCTATAAATGAGCATTCTATTTATATGCGTTTCATTATGTTTTATCGAACAAAATCAATAAATAAAAATTCTCTAAGTGGCTACTTATTACTCAAGTTTTACGTCTAAAGTCGACCTTCCGCTGTGTACGTACAAGAGCGTATACAGCGGGTTCCAAAGTAAGATTAGTGAAGTTTAAAAATAAAACTGAGGTTTACAAAATAATAATTTATTCATAATTAATGTTAACGTACTTATTATATTAAATTTTCTTCTAGTGTTAGGTATGTATGTACTTATCTGAATAATAATAAACATAATTATATATTTCAACTTATAGAAATATAAAAACAACAACTTAAATTATAATATAAATAAATTTTTGGTCACCCATCCAATGACCGACCACTGCGAAAATTGTTTAACTTTAACGATCGCAGCCGAACGCGCTAAATAACACTTGCGCCATCGAGACTATTTACAATAATATTTCAATACACATCTCAAAACTCGCAACTCAAAGTTCAAGCCAAACCATATCCTTTTTTGTAAACAAAGAAAGCCAAAGCGTCATTGTTTTCGATAGAATTGTTTGTAATTCCATCGAAAACGACAATAGCTGCAGCGCACATGTGCGCTTGTCCCTACCTGCGGTTTACGTTGTTCCCTCAAAATGTTAAAACAAAAAATTAAAGTGATTTTGTTGAATGATAAACTTAAAATTGTAAACCAAGCCGAGAAACGCAATTATGAGTGATTTTAACTTGCCGGAATCTACCTTTTATATAAAAAAAAAGAATTTATAAAATTGATTCTTCATTTTTTGATAAACTTTATGAAATTGAAAAACAGATTCATAATTGTAAGAACGACACTCAGAAAAAATTAACTGATTTCTTCGAATAAATAAAATATGTTTCTAAAAACAAATGTGTACTTATTATGTATGAATTTTTTAACGCTCTAGCACCATGTTTCTCGACTTTTATTAACCTCTAGAGTAACTACACTCAAACTTTGTAAGTGACAAACTGCTTTAGTGAGAAACCTCTAATAAGCGAGAATAACATTCGGCTCCCTTGGATTCTCGCTTACCCTGTATTTATAATCGATTAGATATACCTATCGATGCTACAGCATCACTACTGGACAAATCTAATCACCTAACATATGCTAAAAAATATTTTTTGTTATTTTATTTTATTGTGAAAGTATCTTTATAAGTACAAATGTTTTGTAAAATCTAACTTCTTTCGTAAATTTGCTGTAAGTTTGAATTAAAACTAGGATAAAATAATAAAGTAATAAAATAGAAAAAAAATCATGAAAAATGGATAGTAGGAAAAAAATTTAGGTTGTTTTTGTTTGTCTTCGAATTATTCAAAAACTAAAGCATGGATTAGTACACGGTTTTTTTAAATATAAAAAAAAATGTATAAAGAATTGATAACTTACCCATTTTTTAACTTCTTTGTAGGATTTCACAAACAAAACACACTGAAAAGTACTCGTACGTCAACAGCACAGGAGAGGAGGAGCACGAATATTTTTAAATGGTGGTCACATGAATGAGTATTGTTCTTGTAGACTGTAAATCTTTGAATGAATAGGTTGGTTCTTTCTCATTCATTTGACATACGACACAAACCATTCTGATATTATTTGTTTCAATTATAAGGTCTAAACTAGTACAACTAGTCTTGTCGTACTGGTGCGGTAGCCGGCGTTGAGAGATATATTTTTTTGTCGGACTGGTTCGACAGCCGCACTTAAAAGGTTAATCTAAGTAAATAAGTTTGATTAAATAGAAACTTTTTTTTGCTCACTCTACCTATTTGGCTTGAATTGACAGCTATGACGTCAAAATATGGCGCCCAGTCGGTCCTATTCTTAGTTGAATCTCATTATAAAGTTATGAGTCGTTACGTAGCAATAACGCAGTATATCAGAGTTTTGTATACGTGCAATTGATTCTCATCACTAATATTATTTATAATATTAATATTTTTTTTTTACTATTTTTTTATTACATTCTTTTACAATGAATTGATAACAATCCAACACAAAAATACAAACATGTTCAAATAAACAACAACAATTGAAAAACGTTAAGAGTTACAATAAAAAGTTTGAGAGAAAGAAGTTACAGAATTTAGTAATAAACAAAAAAACACTACATTTTTTCCGTACAGACAATAATTTAGGAGATATAGCTATAAACGCGTTTTCCAATAAAGCGGCCAGTTGTGACCACCCTACATTCCCCGATTTAAACTTAAGCTTCTTACAATCTATACTTATGTCTGTAAAAAAAAGCTAGAGTACGGTAAAATGTTGCATTTCGATCAAGTATAATAAGTATAAGCTCGTGGGCGGCCAAAGTACATATTGGCTCAACATAATAATATATTTAGAATAGAAATTCACAGTTCTATTTATTTTATGTGGAAACAAAATTTTAATGGCAACCCCGAAAATACTGAAACTGTAAGTTTATCATATTGTTATTGGAAGTAAACAATGAAAAAAGAAATTAAATTTATAACAATAAATTTATTATTATTTAAATTTATAATAATAAATTAATTTATATAGCAAAAAATGCTGTTGGATTGGAAATCGAAGCCGAGGAACAAAGGGAAGCGTCAAACTCAAACTCAAAAATGTAAATATTTTATATGTTTTATACTGACTTAATGGGTATTTCACTACTACACTAGGTACATAGTTTACAATGTTAGCTGTTTGGTTTTTTGTTTTAAACTCAAACTAATGGGATGCATTTCTAGAGCAAAAAAGTTTATTTTTAATATTTTATATTACACTTCTTTGCTCCACAAGTTCAATTGACAGTAACTTGCTGATTTACGTACCATATCTGTATCTGGATTGGAAATGATTTCCAGTATTGCCTATATCTGTTTTATAAATGAACTATGAAGGCAAAGACAAAACTACACTTAGTACAGTTTTACTGAGATATTTGATTATTACCAAACATCAATCATCATTAAAAAAGTCAACAGTAAAAAACGCAAGTAAATAAAATATTATTTCTCATTGCCACTCGAAAAAGGGATTACATTCAGCGATAACAGTGAATAAACTTTTCATTTAATTACTGAGTGAATAAAATAAAATTTGAACGAACAGAAGTTATACAAAGCATACATATAAAGTAACAATAATTAGTAATAAATTAATCTTTATTGTCATTTCCAAAACACAACCAATGGGTACTATAAATATATTATTTATTTTCTCACAATAGTAAAAAAACTTAATCCTTGTATCCTTTGCTCCACTCAGGATTCCTATCTAGAATCGTTCGTTGCTACCGTAGGGATCCATCTTAGCACTTCAAATTAACTTTATTTTATAATGGCATTTATTGTATAATCAATAATTGCATATTAAAGTATCAATTTGGTAAAGCGCGCTATACTGAACATCGCCGCGTCGATGTCTCGCTCGTGCGACTCGGACACGCTCGCGGCCGTATTTACCTAAACAAGAGAAGCGCAATTTTGTAAAAGGGCTCTTAAGCCGAATTGTTAAAAAATATTCACAACATTATTTTAATTAGAAATAAACCCGTGTAGTCAACCAACAAGCAATAACATTTGACATTTCGGAGACCTCACGCTACACTAGCGCCTCTAGCGGCGGATTCATACGCGATAGCCCTCATTGCACGCATCACACGAAAACATTACTTTTGAGAGTGCTCGATTGTGCGAAGCGTTGCGTTGCTGTAATTGAAACATTCAACGCTAAGCATTATGCCGCATAATGCGCTCTAGTGCTGTAATTGGAAAACCACCATAAAGACCAGCCCCACATGTGGGATAAAAAAACAAACATTATTTATATATATTTTTTAATAACTTTTATTTTTTAAGTATGTAACTGCTCGATGTTTAAATTTAAAGTAAATATATCTAGAAAAATAGAAAAAAATATTTTTTAATTTTTTCTTGTAATATTTTCTTTATTTTCAAACATTGAGCAGTTACATTAATTGCTATTTCTTCTTTCAAATGTTTAATACTTGTAAACGTATTCATTTGACATTGTGGGTTACTTAGAATGCGAAAAGATGTCGCTGCCTTGCAGTATAAGAAAGGCTAGAAAGAGTTCGATACGGCCGTCAGGGCCACGGTGGCATAATTGATCAGTGCATTCGCCCGGATAGCGAAGGGTGCGGGTTCGAGTCCCGTCTGCTGCCAGGTCCGCGTGGATTTTTTTGTAGTTATTACTTAATAACAATAAATTTCTTTCTGCTGCCAATTCTTCACCCAATATTTCCTTTTTTGCGGTAACACCATAGAAAAAGCCAAGCCTTCTGATTTTTTTATTTGTAGTGACTCCAAAGTAATGAACATTTTCCAAATAAGTTATGACCTAAAAGTCTTTGTTACCAAGTCATAAAAAAAAAAAATAGTTTGTTTAGTTTGTGGTCAGTGCTGTAAAATGGGACGTTTTCATGAAATGCTATAAATTTCCATCAAATTTCACAGCGTTCTTTTTCAATTTACTTGATCAATTCGATTAATTATCAAAATGATGCTAACAATACACGGGCTTCCCGTGATGGTAAGTACATAATTACAGATCTTCAATAACATTTCTTGGAATGATTTTCTATGTGTGAGATTACGAGCGGCCTTGTTCCAGGTAAAATATCATGAATTGAAAGCAATGATAAAACAAGAATGCAATTTAAACGATTTCATCTTGGATAACCTAACGGCAGACGTGGACGGTTACAAGAAGGTTCGCATTGGCGTCGCAGATGAAGCCGAAGGAGCACATTTGTGCAAATGCTTGAATGGGTATCGCATGGGTGGAAGTGTGTTACGGGTTGTGCCGGTAGGAAAAGCGGTAATTAAATTTAGATTACATTCCGACCTCTAAATTTCTTTTTTTTTATCTGTTACATTAAGAAGTTTGTTTCGATAATAAGCTGTGTAAGGCACCTCGCATATTAAACGGCCGCGAGCACGAGCAGTAGCCGCAACTACCAGATTAACTATAGCTGGCCGCTGCGGCCGAGTGTATGGTTTCTGGTTTTTATGGTTATCTGGTTGTTGGGACCATTGGCCATGTTCGTGGCGGTCTAGTAAGCGAGGTGTCTAAGTGAACATAACGGAACAACACAGTGATTTTATAAAATGATTTGTGTGCATGAAAACTTAAGAAATCTATATGCCTAAGATTAGGTTTCTCTCTGAAATGGACTTGCAACAATATTTTTGATTACTTAGAAGTTATTTGATACTGTGTATACATTTTATTTTTTTGAAATTTGTTATTATTATAACAACTGGTTGATTGTTGTTAAATAACACATCGTCTATGAAATATGTCAAAACATAAAGTACCCCCTTCTATTTATGGCCACTATCGGAAAAGTTCAGGCTAATACAAAGATTCTAGCGTTCTAACACCTTTCAAAATTAGTCTAGACATTTGTGGGTCCGTTGGGTAGAAAATTTTTATTCTTCATAGTTTTAATTATAAGGACTTTGGTTTATCAACATTTCTTGTTAATTGAGTTTACTATAAATTTTTTTTTACCTTAATATTAGCTTTGCAAGTAATCTACATCCCAGTGATGTGTTTATGATGAATAATTCAAGCTGTTCATATTGGATTATCTACATACATTCTTTAATACATGCCTTAGTAATTTATTAATTTTATTTTAAGCCTAATCAAACTAATTTTGACCAAAGAGGTGGATTTATGCATAGAAATGATATTATGCCAAATCAGCAAGGAAACTATGGAAACCAGCCTGGTAATTTTGGTAATCAGTTTAACAACCAGCCACAGGCTCAAAACCCCTGGAATACTGGACCGCAAAATAACCAATGGAGTGGTAATCAACCAGCTCAAAACCAAATGCTTCAAAGCAATTTTGACTATCAACAAAGACCGGGTCACCAATTTTCGGGACAGGTGAGAATATTATTTAAATATTTATTTATCACTAGTTGACCCCGCGTACTTCATATGGGTTAAAATAATTTGGAAAAAATGATGTACCAAAAGCGATGAACATGAAATGTTTGACAGGAAAGAAGAGAGAACAGTTTATATGGGAAAATTAAATTGACGTTTTTACTATCTTCCTCACAATTTTTCCATTTTTTCTCACCTTTTAAACCTTCCCTAGACCTCCACGAACAATTCAAGACCAAGATAAGATAAATCTGTTCAGCCATTCTCCGTTTTAGCGAGACTAACGAAAAGCAATTGATTTTTATTTATTGATCATAAATAAGTTTCATCAGCGTTATCACATCATATATAATCAAATACAATCTGAATTCTTTAGATAGTATGATAGCTATATTATATACTATAACTTGTTCATAACCCTATAGAGAAATATAATTTTTTTACAGCAATCATCACCTATGGGCCATGGTACTGGTAACAAACCTTTTGGGCAGTCTGGACCAGCATTCAACCAGAATAGATCAGGTCCATCAGACCAAGGATTTGGCTTTATTCAAAAGCCCAACGTACAGCAAACAGTAAGTCTTATTTTCATTTCATCCTTAAATGTAAAGATACTGCAATACCTTTTGTTTCAATGAACCAAAAAATTATTATGAATATCATAAACTGTATACTTTTACATATTTATGATAGCATATTTGTTAATCTTTAGGTACCGCAAATTCGCTCTGACCGTTCCCATGTGCTACGTAGTGTGGATATAGTCCAGAGCCCTGTGCAATCTAACAGATATGAGCAAAAATATGATCAAAACAAACCAGTAAGTAACTATTTCAGATATTAATTTCAAACCAATACATTTATGTATTCATGTTATATAGTGTTTCTATAAATTAAGTGATTACTTTAAGATTATTAAATAATTCCAAATATTCAAGTTACCTTGACATGATTATTATTATTGATTATTCTTAATTCTAATTATTTGTAAAATTGACTTGATATTTATTTGGTAATTATTGCTACTTATAATGTTAATATAAATTTAATTTTAGCTGCAAGCTAAACATTGTTACGACCTAACAGGACTCATGTGTTTGTACCTTATAATTATGTAACATCTTTACTACATGAAACGCAATTAACATTTCAAATATTCTGATATCTGTAAATATAAGTAAATTCACCCTGAAATTAAATGCCTTAATTTTTTATCAGTAGACTGACTGAATGGCTGAAACCAAATTTCTTATATTTTTTTATTGTCAGGTGGTGATCAATAAAGACTACTTTCAGGGACCGAGCCAATTTAATACACCGCAGCAGGGATATCCTCAAGGGTCTATACAACCTGTGCCATGGAGCAAACTGGTATGTATTATTTCATACATTGTCATTCACAAAATAATTTTTTTTTTCATTGTGAATAGATTTGTGCCTACAAAAATAATTTTACTCAAATAAATTATAACTATTATATGAGGAGCTGGCGAAGAAAACAGTATAATTACATAAAATTAAATTTTACATGAGCTGTATTGACATACGTCCAGTGAGCTTTTGGTATGGTTTTTAATTTATAAATTTAAAGTAATTTGAATCTACAATGCGAAGAGATGGCGCTGCATTGCAGCCTAAGACTAGGGAAATTTCGATGCGGCCGTCAGGGCCGCGATAACATAATGGTCAGTGCATTCGCCCGGATAGCGAAGGGTGCGGGTTCGAGTCGCGTCTGCTGCCTGGTCCGCGTGGATTTTTTTCTAGTAAACTTTTCGTTAGATTTAACATCCAGCAGTTAAATGCTTAAAAAAAAAAAAACAATTTGAACAATATTAAAGGCGGTTTTGATTGAAAGTTATTTGAGATTCAAATTCAAAGTGCCTGAAAAAAAAGTAGTTTGACCAGATGCGTAATTATACCGTTTTGGTCACCAGCTCCTCATATTATACCAAATGGGAATCAACACGCAAAGCTCAGTGTACATGGCGCCAGCGATAGCCTGCTGTTAAATCATTTTTTCTTGCATACAAATGTGTTGTTGCATTTTATTCTGATAAAACCAGACCAAGCTTTTTATTGTAAGTGTAACAGCAAAAAAAAATTCAAAGACGATTAAAAAAGACGAAGAAAGATGTATAAGTGAAACTTTTTAAAATCGATTAATAAAAAACGTCTTTCTTTGGTTGAGATTCGAACCCGAGCCACTCGCGTATCAGGCGAGCTTTCTATCACTGAGCCAACGATGCTTGTGGTTAAGGTCTAAATTTATAATGACAGTTGCAAATGTAATGCTAATGACGAACGATAATTTTGCGTCACAAGTAAAAACAATGTCACAAGTCACAATGCAATAAAAGTTTCACTTTAATAACAAAATTGTTGAGGGGTACTCTGTTTGTATTAAAAATATTAAAATATGTATTGTTCTGGGATATTTCCCGAATAAGATTCAGTAAGCAATTTTTTTAAATAAGAGACCGTGTTAAAAATGAGTTTTTTGCCATGACATTTCCTCTATAACAGTTAATAAATACTAGGGAAGTAAGCAGGCGTTCAAAGAAACTGGTACACTCTTCATAAATAACTATATTTCATTTCACTAATAATCAAAAATATATGTTTTTGGTAGAGAAATAATTTTAAAAACACACAAAAGGATGGTATGAAATCAGCTTTAAAATTGCAAGTAATAACTAAAAATGTATGAAATTCACAGCCTACATTGGTCCTTACGACGATACGCCACTTGGGGTCTTATTATGAACTCAAAAAAAATAATCAAAAACAGCGGTTTAAGAAAGATGTCGCTCTGCTATGCGTTTGTCATGTCTCGTTCTTACAACAGAACTTGCCTGGCATTAATGCCTTGACCACACGTCCAACGATATTAACTACCCTAGATACACCAACGCGAACAATATCGTGGCCGAAACCTGTCCAAAAGGTACATTGAACGATCCACGGAGCTCCGTAAGATGATCGCGTAGTCAAAAATAATATAAGGCATTATTTAAAAATTGAAAGTCATCTTTAATGCATAATGTATAAGGTCTTAATTAAAACGCATGCATCAAAGAGATACGACAGTTTGAAATGCAAGCTCGTAAAATTTTACGACTTATTGCTATATGCGGAAGAATTTAGACCTTATATCATTGACTACGCGCAATTCTGAATGCGCTGTTAGTAAAATAGCAGTTACAGACCGCGAGGAAAAGAGACGGCTATATAACCGACCATGCATTTGAATATCACAAATTCTACTAAATCAGTTTATAGTAAGTATTACAAAAAAATTTGCTTGAAATGCTTTAAATTAACAAACATTGATTAAATACCTGTCGAAAAAATTACACTTTACGTACTATTAGTATTGTTTTCGTATTTTTTCACGGAGATCTGTGGCATCTTGACTATTCAATGGCCCGCACGTGACTATGAATCAAGAAGTGCTGTTGAGTGGTGTTCAAGCACTTCCAGTCCACACTTGTCTGTGCCACCCGCCCACGTCTTTTCAGTACGCTGCACGCACGGTCGAGTTATTCCCGAAAAGCGGGATTGAGCCTGTCCCGCGCGGGACATTTAATTTTGATTTAAAAATAGGGACGGATTGCAACGTGCGGTTGTGTTTTGGCCCTAAGAGTTCATAATACGGCCTCTCGCTTGATAAAGTATTTTTTTCCTTGTATCTGTTACTTAAAGTTAGATTAATCTGTTACAGTTTGGTTTGATAAAGTCATAAGTATATAATTTTACCATGAAACGTAAAACTACTAATATTTTTAAAACCGTATTTTGGACCTTATTTATGTTAAGACTAGGGTGAAAATAAAAAAAAAACATTTATTCAGCACAGACGCAGGTATAGACAGATGGTTACTCTTATATTTATACAGATGGACAATAAGGGATTGATAACTCTACATACATTTCGTAATAATTAAGACCTGTATCCACATGTGAAAATCATTTAATTATAATTGGTGATTGTACGTGTTACTTGACTGTCTCCTAAATAACACTGTAGGCTAAGCATAAATGAAACTATTCCATGTGTAAATTAAAGTTTGTGGTATTTACTTACTTTAGTTTAAGAATATAATTAGATAAAGCAAAGGTAGGGTTTGTAAAATTGACTCAAAATACAATAAAGTGGGTGTTTTTAAATTTTTTATTTGTAAGTGAATTAGTTGCAACTTTAGATTGATTTATTTTTAATCCCCGACGGAAAAAGAGGGGTGTTACAAGTTTGATGTGTCTGTGTATCTGTGTCTGTTTGTGAAACCATATCCTAAACGAATGGACTATATTGGATGCGATTTTTTATTCGAAAGCTGGTATGTTTCGTATTTATAATTTATCAAGGTTAAAAATATAAATGATATATATTAATTGAAGATTTGTTCAGGGCCTTGGAGACCACAAGCTCATTTCCTATGTACGAAAACTTTTATATTAACTATTGATTTAAAATTTTATGTACTCTTACTTTGGTGGTGCTCCAATTTGACGATGTTTAGGCCTCAATATTACTATTTTTTCTGTTTTTAAATGGATCAAAAACCATCTAAATACGTTAAATTAAAAAGAAAATTTAATTTGTTATGATTAGAAACATTCATTTTGATAGTAAAAGAACTATTTCCTCATACCCAACAGCAGCAGAAGTCGCCGTTTGGAAAATCGGACGTTCCACCGTTCGAAGGCGACCAACGTCAGATGCCCAAGGATTTCGATAAAAGTTCTGTGTCTCACGGTTCACATGATCGTAGACTTTCACCGCAAGATCGAAGATTGCCACTGCACAGTACTGGAGGACTGCTGAGGCCCCCAGATCGTAGAGTCTCACCTGGACGAAGAATCTCGCCTGGAAGAGGAATTTCACCTCCTGGAAGAAGGATGTCTCCGGGGCGAAGGATGTCACCGAGTAAGTTTTTTTTTATAAAAGATTTGAGAGAGATTTTGAGTGCACTCAAACTCACCTTATGTTAAGTAACGACGTCGTCTATAGGTAGAGACCGCTTAACTGAGTCCTCGCCAGTGTTGCCAGTTTTTTTTGCCAAGTCGGGATTTAGGAACTGTTTGAGTGAAAATAGAGGGATACTTTCGTCGAAAGCGGGACATAGTAAAAAATCGTATATAATCAAAAGTTATTGAATATTTATCTTCATTACGCCCCGGGCAGGCGGCCAGTCCACACTTGTCTGTGCCACCCGCCCACGCTTTTTCAGTATGCTGCACGCACGGTCGAGTTATTCCCGAAAAGCGGGATTGAGCCTGTCCCGCGCGGGACATTAAATTTTGATTAAAATATCGGGACGTCCTGCCAAAATCTGGACGTCTGGCAACGCTGGTCCTCGCCTGCGGGGTAAAAGCCCAAGCAGACACATTCTTGTCAAAATTACAAGTGCCCGCCGCCCTCACCTCCCACGGTCCCCGTTCTGAGATAGAATAGAATAGAAATATTTTTATTGCTCTCACAGTAATATATAGTTCAATACATAGTACAATGCGATATGACAGCGTGAAGAGCAAATGGATGTGGCTCAGCATAAACTGCCACACCCACTTCTCCTTAGATGAAAGCGAGAAATGCAAAAGAAATTGTCATCCTGCCCCACACCCTGTACCCCGACTAATAGCAAAATGTTTAAGATGGTAACGAATAAGCTGTTTCAGTATCTTTTACAGAGTATTTAAAGCATGGGTGTAGATAAATATTATTATCAATTACAAGTGGGCCACCCTCGCTTAGCTTCAGTGTAGACTATAGTTTTTGTTCTCAGGCTTGTATTAAACCTTCTGTGAAAAAATGACGTAGTACTGACTAATGCACCATTAATTTGCTGTTAAAAGTTTGCCCCTTACCATTTGTCTATGTCCTTATTACTAAACATTTATTATTAACTAAACATTACTAAACCTGACTCAGTTAAGTGGTTTATTTAAAAGCTGTTGCACGCTAACTGCAAATAATGCCCATTTATTATTGCCTTGAATGTTCCTATAATAAATGTATCGGGGAATACTTCTGCATCTTTCGGCTGCGATCGTTGAAGTTAAGCAAATTTCGCAGTGTTTGGGAGACCAAAAATTTTATTAGCACCCACCAATCAACACTCGGCCCGCGTGGTGGGTCATGACCCAATCTCCCAATTCCATCCATAAGGAAGGCCTGTGCCCTGGCTGTGGGGACATTAATAAGCTGGTGATAAGGATCATGATCTTCCAGGTGACAGACGTGCTCCCATACGTAAGTCTCCAACCAGAAGCTCTCCGCTCAAGAGGACTTCCCCGGGACGCCGACTGCCTTCCCCTGGGAGAGACAATTTAAGGTAATTTTTTCGTCCCGTAAATAATTCATTTAATATTTATTGATACGTGTACACATATTTGTATGAACCGAGAAAGAAAACCAATAAAGCACATTTTGGTTAGCTCTTACTTCACAGGTAGAAACTTGTAATATATGTAGTTTGAATACTTACACAATGGCTAATATGCCATTTTAAATATATTTAAAATAATAATTTGTAAAAAATATTACAGACTACTTTAAGTAGCCTGTAATATTTTTTAAGAACTATAGTTCTTTAATTCTTAAAAAAAGAAGATAAGCCATATAGGTTACACCCCTGAGGTATTCCTTAGTGGGGAATGTTAGCTTTACATAGCAATAAAATACCTTTGCAATATATTTTTTTCTAGAATATATGAAACATATATTTTTCCTATTTATGTGGATTTTGTGATGGTAGTCATGGTAGTCAAAAGTAGGCGAATATTCTAATTCGTCAAACGTCTTACCAAAATCTACAAAATACAATGGTCTGCTCAGTTGTCTTATAGTTATTATGTTTAATCGAAATCTATTTGTCCATTCAATACAGGTACTCTCCTAGCCGTCGGCACGACAAGCCTGATTTCGGTGGATCCAAAACAATTCGACCCGCTTACGAAACTGAAGCTAAGGTAAGTAATATAGACAAACCAATAACCTCTATAACAGGAATGTGTATATTAACTGTGTGCAGGAATAATATTGATATTCGGAAAATGTAGCTGATTAAATGAGGACTTCAAATGCAGAATTCAGAAAAACTGAATTCAACAACAAGATCACCATCTTGGATTGTTGAGATTGTGGTTTCTGTTTACTGCACATGGCGGATTGGTGCATTGTGTTATACTTACATTGTAAATGTAGACAGAAACATAATACGTATATTTGTTTACACCTAATGAGACAGTGTAAACATAAATAAACAAATGAAAAATATATTATCTTGTTTGGTTAACATATAGAATCTGATATTTATTTCTCATTAAAGTATCAGTACTCTACGAAAGGAAATGCGGCCAATTTATTTTCTCGTGGGAACAAAAAAAGGAATGATTTGTTGCAGCCAGGCTTGTAGAGACAGAGCTAACATATATAATAAAAATCGTTACATTGCATAAATTTGGATGTTAATGGTTTCTATAAATAAAAATGAGACTGAAATAAAATCCATCTATTATTGTATATCCCTTATTAGCAGAGCATCAAAGGCGTGACAAAATAAGAGTGAACAATATACACTGTTATGTTTTAAATATATACCTGAGGGACTTATTGGAAATATTCAATTATAATGGGAAATCTGGTAATGCAAATCACTATGATATGCCTTGACTACTAAGACTGGGAATAAGGTTTATTCAGATCAGACAAAAGTATGTTGATCGCAGTGGCAGTTTTTTTAAAATTAAACAATGGTTTGATCTAAACTGAACTACGGAAAATCTTCTTGCATTACCGAAAAGCTGCTAAAAATACAGTTATCTGGAAAAACGCAACAAAATCTCAGAAATATTTAAGGGACACAGCAGAAAAAGTATTTGACTAAAGTAACAAATAAGCTGAAGGGAATAAATAGATAAATATCTAACAATTTATAGAATACCACAAAAGTAGCGATTTATAGTATTAAGAACATTTTAAAAACCTATATTTACTGTTTTGTTCTTTTAAAAGAAGTATAACAATATTGTGGCGATGTCAAAAAATTCTCGAAATAGAGGGGTAGCCGTTGCTCATCTAAATAGGCACTAATGAAGTGAAAAATCGAATTCGGACCGAATTACAGCATTACCCATTCATAAGCTTTATATTAACCAACGAGTAAACAAGTCAATGGAGAAGTAAACAATTACTTGGAAAAAAATTCGTCATCGCCCGTCATAATGTTCGTCATCAAACAAGGAAAAAGCCCAAATAATTTTTCAAGAAATTTTAGCTCGTTATGGGGACTCTTTTCTTGGGAAAACCACGATTTTCAATCTAATCTAAAGAGTCTAACGGAGACGATCCTCGATCTGGGCGACCGATTAAGGCCACTGCATCAGATATCGTCAAAAAAGTTAGGAGATTTGTATTGGATGTTGGTTATCGAAGTAAACCCACTTTTAGCATTAGTTGGCAGTTTCATAAAACACAAAAAACGCTGAACATGCACCAATATTTTGACATGAGTAAAGTGTGTCCTAGGTGAGTCAAGACCTGAGAATCCTTAGGCCGCTCCCGAAAACGAGAGCGCGTCAACTGTTCCTGCCTATTTTTGGACCGCATTAAAAATTAAAAGGAAGATATTATGGCCAGAGTTGAAACTGATGATGAAACTTGGATTTACCTTAAACCTGAGTAAAAATAAGAGTCGATGCAGTGGCATAAAAAAGGTACACCCTGCAATTTAAATTATATCAATTTTCTGGACAGATCATGGCGACTATCTTTTAGGAGAATGAGGGTATTTTTTGTTTTTGATGGGCAACTTGGTGATTCCACAATGGGAGAAATACTATGCTTCCTTTTTGATTCAACTAAAAGATTATAAAAGGAAAAGAAGATGAAATCTCACAAAAGGTCTTTCTTTTGCACGACAATGCCACCTTGCACACCAGTCTTCTTGCGACGCCTGTTATCCACTGATGCGGTTTAAAAGAAGTACAGCCACCTACCCTAAAGACCAGAGCTGATCCCAATGCCAAGCAATTCTTTATTTCTAAAAGTGCGAAAAAGTTGCTTCTTGGATTTTTTTTAAAGACGATTTCAAGGCCAGCGAATTTAACATCTTTCAACGCACGAGAGTTTCAGGGGGAATAAATTGAACAGAAAAACAAAAAAAAAACGTCTTTCTTAACTGTTGGTCCGTGAACTTGTAGACCTCCCTGCGTATATACAAATAATCGCGATCAGGATTTTAAGAATGAAAATTTGAGAGAAGAGGCAGCTACTGCGGTATTGTTTACCATCTATTTTTTTTAGTTTTGCCTTTGAAAATGGTGGTTCTGTGATAACATCAAGTAGTGACATCATTGATATTTGCGATTACCTAGACCTATAGATATTGTAATTCAAATTACTTTCGAATGATATGATATTCACCGGAACAGAAATTTAAATAAGTATTCAGCAAGCTACAACTCTACTTATCATCATTTGAGGATAGAAGCCTTACAACATCAAGAAACATAATCATAAAAGATTATGATGTATTTTGCAAATAATGCAGTGAAACTATTCAACAAAACACTTACATAGGTAAAGATGAAGAAAATAAATCAACCAAATATTGATACATTAATAATTTGAAACCTTTGGACACAATAATGTTGGTGAAATAGTGTAACACTGTGCAAGAGTTTTCTTTGTCTTTATCGTCATTATTTCGAGTAGAACCAAATTCCAATAAAATAGGAAAAAAAGAGAAACGTTAGAAAATTTCGTCTGTTTTCAACAGTAGAGTTGCAGACAGGTACTAGTTAAATGTCCCTCAGTAATGAAAAACTATTCCTGGAGAAAGCGACATGTTATAGTAATAAGATCCTGATAATCGTAATAATAACAATAGGATTATTAATTAAGTTTGGTGAATTAATTAATATTGCTTTTCTTGTTTGCAAAATAACTTTTAATTTACAGGCACCGAATCAAGCTATGTACTCAGATGGTTACCGTCCGAACGTACACGACAACGTGACATACCCGTCACGTCAAAATGACCAGAGAAGTGCTTCCTGGCAAGACAGGGATAAGAATACGTTTCTGGGAGCCAAGAAACAGGACGACGATAGAAGAATGGTTAGAGGAACCGAACCAGAAGCAAAACATTCTCCGATTCATAAGTCTAGATCGCCGAACCGCAGAGATGTAAGGGAGAGATCGCCTCTCAGGGACCGTTACCGAAGGCATTCACCGTCGCCCCGATCGCCGCGTCGATCCTGGGCTTTAGAGAAACGACGCAGTCCTGAAATAAGTGAAGCTCCTCCTCCTCCTGTTTGGCCAGGACAATCCCAAGAAGGTCCCTATCCAAGAACAACTGGTAAAGCAGATGGCACCAAACATATTCCCGTTTGGGACCATAGAACATATGAAGAAACAGAAGCTGCGTTGAGACGCGAGAATCGTCCGTACGATGAAGAACAAATGCGAATTAGACGAGACGGGGGACGCAGAGACGAGATTCCACCCTCGAATCGAAGAGAGCCTTCTCCTAGACGACACGACTTTAAGCCGCAAGAAGAAAGGAACAGGGACCCAAAATTTGAACCTCGCGACCCTAAATTTGCACCCCGTGATCCTAAGTTTGATCATCGTGATCCCAAGTTCGAAATGCGGGAACCGCAAGTTACCAGATTTGATCAACGTGATCCTAAATTCGAAGGACGTGGTCCTGAATTTAGACCACGCGATCCTAAGTTTGAAGAACGTGACCCCAAATTTCAACCACATGAGCCTAGATTTGAACCACGCGATCCTAAATTTGAAAGCCGTGCACCTCATTTCGAACCTAGTGAACAACGAAACTCGAGAGACCCGAAGTTAGATTCACGTGAACCGAGATTTGAACACAGAGATTCAAAGTTTGATATGCGCCATCCAAAATATGACTCGCAAGATTCTAAGTTTGAAACACGTGATCCAAAATTTGGACCACGTGACCCTAATTACGGACCACGGGACGCTAAGTTTGAACCACGCGATCCTAAGTTTGAACCACGCGATCCTAAGTTTGAACCACGCGACCCGAAGTTTGAACCACGCAACCCGAAGTTTGAACCACGCGATCCGAAGTTTGAACCACGCGATCCCAAGTTTGAACCACGCGACCCGAAGTTTGGACCACGCGACCCGAAGTTTGGACCACGTGAACCGAAGTTTGAACCACGTGGTCCGAAGTTTGAACCACGCGACCCGAAGTTTGAACCACGTGGTCCGAAGTTTGAACCACGTGACCCGAAGTTTGAACCACGCGAACCGAAGTTTGAACCACGTGACCCGAAGTTTGGACCACGCGACCCGAAATTTGAACCACGCGATCCGAAGTTTGAACCACGTGACCCGAAGTTTGAACCACGTGACCCGAAGTTTGAACCACGCGACCCAAAGTTTGAACCACGCGACCCGAAGTTTGAACCACGTGGCCCGAAGTTTGAACCACGCGACCCGAAGTTTGAACCACGCGACCCGAAGTTTGAACCACGTGATCCGAAGTTTGAACCACGTGATCCGAAGTTTGAACCACGGGGCCCGAAGTTTGAACCACGCGATCCGAAGTTTGGACCACGCGAACCGAAGTTTGAACCACGCGACCCCAAGTATGGATCACGTGACCCTAATTACGGACCACGCAGCCCAAAGTTTGAACCTCGCGATCCTAAATTTGAACCGCGCAGGAATGAATTTGCGGTTGGTTTCGATAAACCCCAACCGCGTGATCGCGACTATGAACCACGCGACCCTAAATTTAAACCTACATTTGAACCCCTCGATCCCGACGATCGAGAGCACGAGCTAGACTTTGGACGCGATCCCAAATACGGATCTCGGGATCCGAAATTTGATTCTGACTATAAGGATCGACGTGCACATGACATGCCTGAGAGAAAATCTTATGCAGATAGAGATGATTTTAGAGATAAAAGGCGGGAGCAAAATCGAGATGAAATACACAGACGGGACGAGAGGAAAGAAATTCGCAAGCCGCGAGATCCAATCGACGAGGAGTTCGAAGATATCTATAAGAGAACTCTCGAATTCAAACAAAAGGTGGAAGAATTGAAACGCGTAGAAAGAAATAGGGAAGATTACCCACGAGACGGGCGTCGCCGCGACGCCGACGATGATAGGCATAAAAAAGATGAATCGGACCGTCCGTATCGCGACGATTATCACAAAATGGACTTAGAACGCCGCCCCCATGAAGATCGCCCGCGTTCAAGACACTCTGATGAGAAACGAGAACCAGAATGGAAGCCTCGTGATATGATTCCGAGGAAAATGTTTTTACCATCGGGAGTTAAAGCAAAGCGCGACAAAGCAGTAGAAGAAATTGTCAACAAGTTAATGCATAAATATGGGAACTTTGAGATGACAGAAGAAATGAAAAACCGTGTCAACGAGGAATTGAAATTGTCTATATCGAGGATCATGTACGATATGTTCGGTAATGAGGACATATCTTTTATAGAGTTAGTTGTGAAATTTAACTCTAAACATGGCCAAAGGGAAGAAGTCAAGATTTTTGAAGACGTGATGTCATGTTTCCCAAAACATAACAGGATTTTGAAGAGACCAGCACAGGGTAAGATAGACAAACATATTACTTAATATTTAAGAGTGATATCGTTAATTAACCTAGTAGTAATATGACCGATTAAGTTTTCTTTTGTGATTTGCAATTTTTACGCGGCATTCTATTCAGCAATTTATTCGCCAATAAGCGACTTCGTATTGTTTCTACGGCTTTTTAAGCCGATACAATACGAAGTCGTTATTTTAAGTGGCCTACGCCTAGATATTAAAAAATTCGTAGTTTTTCCTTCAGTGCCATTGTGATATTGCGGTTAACAATTCCACTCAAATAGGTTGTTTGTGAATTAAAAAATTTCACTTCCTAAAATTCTATTTGATACATTTTTCAGGTGTGCGATTGATGTAATTAATATTATAGGTTAATCCCAGATAACTGACAAAAATACTTAGACCCAAATTAAACAGAGCTTTTACTATGGAAACGTAATATATATATATATATATATATATATATAATTATTTAAAATAGTATACAAACAACCTACACCATAACAAGCAAATCTGCTTCTCTCACATATAAATAACCCTACCGAGATTCGAACCCAGGATCCTTGCCACAACGCTGCCGATACACCAGTCGCAAAATATAGGTCTTAGGATAGTAAGATACTAAGTAGAACAACTTTCGGTTAGATGCGTGACAGAAACATGCTTGGAAACTACGTTGTTCACCAATAATTGCTTCCCAAATATAATTTATTAGCATGTAGGATTTACCATTTTTTTAAATTGTCAAACGTTTAAAACTATTTCCAGCATTAAAAATGAAAATCTTACGAAAAAATAATTTATTATTCAAAAAACTGCAATGAAAGAATAAATGCATTGAAATTGGTGGGTAGAGTTAAAGTGCAAAAATGTGTTCTACAAGAAAAAATATAACGGATCATATCAGTTAAAAGTTTATTATCTTTCAGACACCAACAAAAGTGAAATTCCTGAGAAGAGTTCTAGGGTTACGGCTAACACTCACGTGGAACAAGGTAATATACGCATACGTACATTATCTTTAGTTATATTAAGTTGTAACTAACAAATTGCGCGCGCGCGTTGTACAATTTTTCTATAGAGTACTTTAATAATAAGACAAATGTTTTATATATTTCTGATAAGATAAAGTTAGATTCTTGCAACATAGCTTTAATTATAATTTCGTTATTAAGTTTTAATTAGTTCTTAATATTGGATGGATAAAATTTATTAGTTACGTTGTAAGAAAATACTTTGATAGTTTCAGATTGGAATTTTACGTTTGGACAGCAAGCTTTTGGTATGGCGTTGGCACAATTCGATGGTAATCAGTTGCCTTTGATGATGAATTCGGCTCCTATGATGGTGCCGTCTCCATTCTCAGCTCAGGATATTTATCCAGCGCAACAAACACAGGGAACATATGGGGTACAAAACAAGGAGGAATACTCAGAGAATCAGGAAATGTTCAACGTTGAATTGCCCAAAGAAGATGGGTACAATTTATACTTGTGTAAGGACGACTTTAAGCAGTTCTCAGAAACTCAAGCGGATTACTTGAAAAAGTTTTTGATCTCGCAAATTTTCAAAGAGACGGAGACGTCGCAAGGCTGGGCGCCTGATTTCACTTTGAAAGGCTTGCAAAGCTTGTTCCGTTACGAGGTTCACACGCACGATGAAAGGTCCAAGGACTGGCTATTGAACTTGGACTTTAGCGAATTCACACTTTTCAGCGTCCTCGTATATACCAAAGAAGAGTTGTGGTATGAACGCGCTGCCATATGGCTACCCGGACATTCCAGATGCCGTAACATTGAACCATTGGACAAACTAAAGCTTCAAAATAAAAAGATGGAAGAAGTCAAAGTAGGTAAGTGGAAGTTAGTAAAGAAGATTGTCAACGTGAAAGGTACCAGAATATATGTAGACATGCCGCCTTCTTCTGCCCGAGCTTTGGAAAAGCACAAAATGATGCTCAGCTACGAACTACAAAAAGTTAACGTATTTCTTAAAGCTGTAGCGGTAGATAAGGACGCATTCGATGTCGGTTTGTTGGAAATGTCAGTAAAGGATCAATCGGAAGTCTTAAACGCCGCACAAAACTCTATTATGCCTGTTTTGAAAGAAGATCCCAACATAGTCAAGTTAACACTGAAAGGTAGCAAGACGTTGACTATAGTGCAAGCTAGGAAGATCAAAGAAATGGTAATATACCAATTGTTCAAATATCACCAGCAAGTAGGTGGTAAAAGTAAAACAGATTTCGTTAAATTTGGATTTTGCCAGCCCAACTGTCTTGGTATATTACCGGAGAACTCTGAATCGAAAAGGTGGTTAATATCCACAGATTTTGGGAAATTGAATCGTCAACCCATAGTGATACTGGGTGGAGATGACCATAACACGCGCTATCTAAAATTATTGTTGGCTGTGCCTCAAGATAACTATGCCAAAGCTGGGCAATCAAAATCTAGCCTATCCGGGCTAATTTTGGAGAGACTCAAGCAATCCAATCAAGGTGTTAAAGGTATTAATTTTGCCTTGTGGAAACCTATCCGTTTCTTTAATGATAAGAGGAGCCACTATAATTGTGAGGTAGAAGTAGACATAGAATCTGCTGAAAACATTGCCAAAAATAAATATAGACTGGATTACGTGACCGATAACGATAGGTATAACACGAGAGTAGCTGAATTTAAACCAGATTGTTCGGAAAGTCGTTTTAAAGAGAAGATTGCTAAACTAAAAGCTGAACTCACTGACAGTTACGACGTAGCCAATATGGACTTAGCGTCGTCAGACTCTGGGGATGAAGATGTTATTTGTCTAGACAATTGAGTCCATGTCGTTGTAATTCTTTCAGATAATGTTTGGTTGCAGTGCCGTGTTTATATTTAAGTCATTGAAGCTTACAATGTATCTTGTGAATATTTCATTAAAGTAAAATTTCACTTGAACGTATTTTTCATTGTATACTTAAGTCTTTCAGATTAATTATTCCAATTAATTCAGGTAAGGTGTCTTTGTGAATTGGTTGTGTTAATTGCTATTTAACATTGCTTTGTTGGTTATCTTTATTGCTCTTTTACTATAAAATGTGCCCCAATTTGATGAGTTCCAGTCCAGGGTGGGAAAATGACGCCATATTTTGCTGCAAATGATTCTACTGTCGTCGTGAAGGCCAAAACAATCTCTATCGACGCTCCCTTTCACCATGCCCTGTGTATTGCTGATTCAACTGAAATTTGCCGTTCACGCATACCCGAAAAGGAATTCTTCAGGTAATTTTTATTTGTGTCTTGTCTTTATTCCTTGCAGTTATTGGAGATCTCCGCACCTTAAAGGAGTGCTGCTTTGTAGAGGTGCGTCCATTTACCGTTTTAGGAATTAGGAGCTCAATTTTTTCATTGGTTAATTCAGATGAAACTGCAATCTTCAACTTCTGAAGCTGAAGGTGGGTTTGAGATTTTGTTTAGATTAGTGCCAGAATCATTCATGGCAAATTGCAGAGATGCTGTTCTCTGCATCATCGATGCTGTATATATAGTATTTGGTATTCAGAAAACAAGACACGAAAGCGCAGTCTCCAGGTAATGTTCTCAGGGTAAAAACTCCTTAGCTTAGCTGCTCAACAAATTGGTTTTGGGTCTTCAGAAATCTAACAGGTACACAGTGTTATGTATCTTATTGTGCATTAGTAAAATTTTATTCATTATCATAATAAGACCTTACAACACTAACCATACATACATAGCTTCATTTGAATCAATATCTCCATTGTTGGGGTACAGGCCTTCTCTATTGACAGAAAACGGGCCATAATCCACCACGGGTGCCCAACGCGGATTGGAGGGTGTTGACGATTGCAGATGCTGCAATAACCAACGGCCTAACGTACCTTCCGAAGAACGGAGGAAGTCGAGATTTATGATCACCTATCCCACGGGCGTAACACAAGTTGCTTATCTTAAACGCGGCAGCCTGAACGGCTTACGGCAAAATGTGCCATCGAGAGTCGAGCTTTTATGCTAGCGTAGCTACTATAAAGCTCGTGCGGTTGTCGGTGAGCGGTAAATTATGATTACGACTGATTAAACAGCAAGAATCATTCTCACGGAGTTTTACGTCAATTATTTTCAGCATTGATTTCCAGAGGAATTTAATTAAGTGCTGCGGTTTTCATTCCAGTCCCGACCGAGAACTTTTTCTTGGAACTTAAATTGTAAATATTTAGTTAATAATTATTATTGAAAATATTTATAGAATTGTATGACATTGACGGGTGAATTTTTGCTACATGATACTTATGTCGTATTTCACTAATTGACGCATTTCCTTTGCCTTGCTCAAGTAGATAATACTGCTAAATTTCAATCAAATATCTATTGTTTTATTCGTGGAATTATGTCTCGCTTCAAGGTGTCACGCCAGTTTATTTTTAATTAGATTGTGATTGGAGGGCTGCTTCTGTAATCTTTTTCCAAGTTGTTGTAATGCTGATTTTTTGCTTCCAATTTTCTTCATTTTATCGTGAATAATTTGAGTGCAGTAAGTATGAGTACTTGGGACTAAAGGCACCACCACGGTGCCTTTGGCTATAAGATTGCCAAAATAACTGAGTACTGCACTCCAACACAGAAGTGTATCATTTTGTGATTCAGTTTGTGTGTCAAAGAGAAAGAAGACCTTCTATTTTTGCCCAAATTTATACCTTGGTATAAATTATCTCAAAAAACATCTAAAATTACACTTGAACAATTGCTGGAAATCTGAATTAAAATAGGCAATCTGCGTATAAAGAAACGTTATTACGTTATATTCCTTGATTGTGATTGGTTCTAACAAAAAACTCGTGATTTCCGTAGCTAATTGTTGTTAACTTAAAGATGCACATTTACCATAATATATTTTCTGTGCTGCCATTAATTTAAATGTTTCAACGTGATTTTTATGTCATACAAGTGGATTCTACTTCTTCGGCGCTACACTCTTGACAGAGTGGTCGTGGTCGTCACATCAGGGTTGGTGGCGCGGCTCACAGTACGCCGCCATTCCCGCACTGCAGCCTTTCTCGAGCACTCGTGAAGTGGACCGTTCAGTGCCGTTTTTATCTGATCGGTCCAACGCATTGGTGATCTGCCGCGCGCCCTTACGCCCTTGACTTTGCCCAGCACCACCAGTTGTTCCACTGACGCATCTTCTCGGCGTGAGATGTGGCCAAAGAAAGTTAGAATTCGACCTTGTATGATGGAAGAAAGACGTTGTTTGATGGACAGCTCCTGGAGGATGGATGCATTGGTTCGGAATTGTATCCACTGTATGCCAACCATTTTCCTCCAGCACCACATTTCTAGAGCGTCTATCTTCGTTTTCTCATTCTCTCGCAAGGTACACGTCTCAGCATCATAGAGGAATATGGGAAACACTAATTCCCTGACGAGTCGAGTTTTCGTGGCTTTTGTGATGTTCCTGTTTCTCCATATTTTTTGAAGTTTGTCCATAGCTGACCTCGTGATTGCTCGAGTTCGCAATTTTAGTGACTTTTGGCGAGTTGTTATTAGCACGATCGACAATCATAATCTTGGTTTTGTTGCGATTTATTTTCAGACCAAAATCATTTTGCCTAGCAAAGATTCCATGTTACTGGCGCTTGTTGCAAAAAGTGTGGTGTCATCCGCATACCTCAGATTGTAAGTCTTATCTTGTCTCTTATCGTGGATAATAAACTCCATTTATATTTTTGATGAATTCGGCGTATTTTTGTACACATAAGTTTATATTAATACTTAGGTACAAAATTGGTCAAAAGGTCAAAATTGGTTGGTTGGTTGTTCGTATAGAGGCAAGAATGGCTCCTTTATTAAAAATTATTTGAGCTGCTGTTGAAATCAAAGTTAACCGATTAACGGTATGTTTAAATAGGTGTAGATAAAAAGTGTGTCTTGCTGAAAATCGTCTATGAAATTCGTTTAAATAGTAGAAAAATACTTTAAGGTTGTCTCAAAAATCCACAACTTTTCTTGGTAGGCACTTCACATTCGGCTTTTCGGAATTACCTGTTTGTGATGTTTGTCAAATAATTGCAACATGTGGTTAGATTTATCTGCTTATTTGACAAAATGGACCCATACCAAACACAAATTGTTACTAAACAATTTTTAGTTTTTCGACGCGCGTCAAAGAAGCACAGATTTCTAATCAAAGTAGAAAAATACACAAAACTGTTGGACGTACATATTCACAAGTGAGCAACAATTTGATTTGTGAGATATTTTTTTCTGTGGGGTACCATTTTTCATTATTAATAATAATCTCTTTATTTCAGACTATTGGCCAATATGACGAGCTTGAAGTATTGTTAAAATTATGATTATGTATCGCTATTATACGGTACGGTATTATAAACATAAAGAACCAAAAATTGTGCAAGAATGCTTATTTCAAACTGTCAACTACATCGTTTTGGGAATAACTATGTAATTTAAACCAAATTAATATATATATCTATACACACACATATATGTTTGCATCATCGTAAATGCGGAGAATGGAGTCCTCACTTCCTCTGATCCTTTCCCAAACGTAAGCGAATTGCGAACGCAGGATACAAAAAAATCGAGAACATTTGATTCAGCAACTATTTCCGCGGCTTTTCAGCAGAATGCGGATGCTATTGAACTCGCAGCACATTAAAGAAACGTTTTGTATGTTTCAGCCGAAGTCATGTCATCAACCAACATGTCATGTTAATTGCAGCTGGCAGCATGCCTTGAACAACATTACCTTGCCGTTCTTCGCAGGTAGATCTGCCGAACCGTCACGAGCATAATGCACCTCACTCGAAGAGATTTTCGCTCCTTTACCAAATCCTACTCGTCGTTGAGTTGTTTCTTCAAAATTGGGTCAAATTATAATTACAATCCGAAACATAGAGCGGCGGAATGTTTACCGGAGATGTTTTGTTCAGAAAAATAACGACTTGGGTTCTTCAGCAAAGGACAACGCTACGGTTCTAAGGTTTTAAGGAGGCATTTCTTTAAGTATTGATAGGAATTCAAACAATAAAATTCCGCTGCAAGAGTCAATTGTCCGACGCTATGGTTGTTATCGATGTCATCATGATGATTTATCATCTCGCAAATATGTATGTTAAACTATTTGAAATTCGACGCCTTCTGTGGATGTTCTATCGCGAGTTCGCTATTTGCGTGTTCGGCAAAGTTGCCGAATAAAAGGCACTGTGTTGTTGCGTATGTTCTCAACATCGAATCACCAACCATATGGAGTGCCACCATCTGAGAAGGCTGAAAATTGCAAACAAGTAACATAGTTGTAGTGTTATGTGTCTGCATTGGACAAACCCTGGAATTCCAGCTCTCACATCATGTGGGTTTTAAATACATTTTCCAGGTCTAAAAAATAAATCTATTGGCTCTGTTCCGAAGATTTTGCTGTAACTGAGTGTATTTTATTTTATTCGAATATTTGTTTGTTTACAGAAAGTACTCTACTTACAAAACTGTTTCTAAAAAAGAATACGGCATTACCTTGAAGTAAACATTTGTTTGGATACTATCATTTAAATTTGTACCTATCTAATATTAAGATTCGTTTTTTTTAATGTTATGTTAAATTGCTACTGCTCAGGCTTGTCTTGTCTATGGTCATTGCTCAAGAAGTTTGCCAGGATAAACAAGGCATAGGTATACAAGGCGATCGCAAGTGAGGTTTAAATCAATGAAAAATGTATTCGGCTATTATCTGTCGTCAAAAGCTTAGATGAACGAGGCATTAAACCCTCCAATTTAAAACTTTATAAAGGTGGCTAGTTTGTCTTTTACTAGTAGTCACAATCACAACTTTACCCAATTATATCGTTACCAAGTTAAAGAAACATTTCTTCTATTATACGGACAATTTATGTATGTTGTCGTAATTGCAGGATCGAAACGTTTCGCTCGTCCGGGAAGAAAGCCGGTCGCTGTAACGAGGAAAACCGTCGCCAGGACAATTGCAGCAAAACCTAAATGTAAGCGACTCTTGTATTTTATATGTTTGTTAATATGATTATATACACGCCTAGTTAAAGCAATCCAAATAAACCACGAAAAGAAAACCGCTCATGTTACGCGCAATCTGTGCGCGCCATAAATACTCACCAACAACGGCTACCATAAGGAATACCTCTTTAGATTTAAGATTACTACTAACAATCTCTGCCCATATGATCAAAAATCTGGCCAATCACCTAACCACTTAATTCAACATTGTCCTCGGTACGCCGCCCCACGAAACGACTTTCTCATATTCACAAACAAAATTGCCTTGATCCCTACAATCTCCACCTATTACTTCAGAAAATCGCTTATGTAGAAGCGTATTTCAAGCACGCTTCTACTATAATACATACACTCAAAGAATTTAATAAATAACCGTCTTATATCAAACCTCAACTAATTTAAAACTACCTAAAATACGCTTAAACAGTATTGCTGAAGCATGGAGTACACCAAAAGCACCGGCTTCCCAATAAAGAGAAGATAAAATAGCTCTTAATTAAAAAAAATGTAAGATTGTTTGAAAGCAGTCAATGTGTGCGTTTGTAGCGACGAGCGTAGCTACCATATGTAGTAGATATTTTTTGATCCGCTTCCATGCAGTTCATACGGTATCAAGGCGTGTATATAATCAAAGGTATGTTAAATATGTATCAAAAAGCCTTTTTGGTCGAAATGTGTTCTTCCAGGATTTCTGAAAAAGGGACCACAGTCCACTACGGGTTCGTAGCATGTGTACCAGGGGATCTGCAGTAGCTCAGATAATGATATTAATTATCATTTATTTGACAAATTATGGTCCCAATAAAACTTAACATTCTTTAATCATAGTTGTATTTTCTTTTTTTTTGTAATCGCACACCCCTTTTTTAATCAAAATTTGTCTCGCCATCCCATGGTTTTTTGGAATAAATGGCTACATACGGATGATGCCGTGGCATTTCGACATTCACAAGTAAAGTGCTTGTAAACAACCTAGACTAAATAAATGATTATAGCTATTAACGGGATTGTTACCATGTACCTTGTTTTTTATGAGTCTCCGATATTTCGGCACTGTTGCAACCCCGAATCAATTAAATGTTCCGCGATGGCTGATTTTTGCGTATCATTATTTCATCAGCCATCACGGAACATTTAATTGATTCGGGTTATATTCACTAGATTGAGCTCCACAATCCACAAATTATCTCGACAGAACGCCACTACATACCAAGATTGGTCAGGGAAACGATTGTAATAACCAAACACAAGAATTTCAATGGCGAGGATGGGTTTGACACTTGACAATTTAAACTGTCAAGTGTCTGGAATCCAGTGGTCCGTATGTGTAAAAACCGCAAAAATAAAAAAGTGTCGTTCTGCGATCTGATACTGTGAATATTGTGTGTCGGGAACAAGTGCGAGTGAATAGTGAGAATGTGACCAGTGGTAGGGGTATCGAACGCAATAAAAGACGACGTAAGCGGGTAGACCGATATTTGTGCCAATAACATCTACCCGCAGTTACTTCAGTTACTCCGTGATCATGGCGCTTGCAACAGTGCCGAAATATCGGAGACTCATAAAAAACAAGGTACATACATGGTAAATCCCGTTAATAACTATAATTTTAGTGACCATGAAAGTTTAAAACAATATAAATAAAAGATATTGAATTTTAATTTATGGACTCGTTTTGGCAGCGGTGGATGATCCGAAGAAAATCGCTCCGCCGTTATCTGTGAAACCGAACGCTGACGGCTGTTACGAGCTCGACGTGACCACAACTCGGGCGCTCGTCGACGAACTACAGAAGGTCATGATAAAGGTCAATTGATACTTCCTTTTGTCCTAATTATAATCTTCTCATAAGAACAAGTATTTTAAAATCCGGTGATTTTTACAACTGACCGTGAGACACTTAATTTTATATACTCAGATATGTAAATTGATGTTTGCATGATATAAGTTAACAGCACACTGCCAAAACATAAATTATACAGTAAACAAATTATCAGTCTTTGCGGGACAGAAAGGAATTTGGACTTACGATTTTCACTCACTCACTGTCCTTCACGTAATTTGGTGATTTCGCTGATTTTCCTTTGTACTAGTTTAACATCTGTCGCGCAAAACTAGGTAATTTGGATCGGGGCCTTTCCGAAGTCACCGATCGCTATGGCGGCGTAATTGTAACAGATAACTGACAGATACTACCTGTCTACCCACGTATTACAATAAAATATCGTCCAAGGGATAGGAAAAGGTGGGTAAGCGGATGTAATGTTACGTTATCATATCTAACGCATTCAATATATTTGAAATTACGAACACAGTCTTAAGTGCAAGTTTCTGATATTTGCTCCTAAAAAAATGTAGTCTTTTGAGAACTTCGAAATCCTGGATGTTCGTACAAAACAGGGAACTCCTTGGCCACGCGAGAGCGCATCCCTAAGGCAGAGCCAGATCCGCAGAGCAATTACCTTATTCTACGGCTTTTTTAATTGAAAAATTAGACAGTCTACAGCCTACGGCCGTGTCGTCATCGATCACTTAACTTGCTGAAAAAAAGTAATATAATATAATTAATATAGAAATAATGTATTCGGGACGCGACCACCATTTTGTATCAACGCGATAATCCTGTTGTACTCCTAATTCAATGTAAATATATAGTCCGCGTAGCCGCGTATAACTCATTGCATTATATTCCTCACTAATGCAGCATTAGTGAAGAATACTTATGACCAGCACAGCATCTGCATTAATTGATGCCGAGCTTTTACGGATGCGGATTTATACCAACAAGTAAAGACATCTACAGAAAGTCGGCAGAGCCAGAGTGCTTAAAATGATATGAAGTAAGGCTGTAGCTTTATTCTTAAAATTAATATTTGACGATCTCCGTGGCCAAGTGGTTTGTACGCCGGATTTCATTGTGTCGCCGACTTGAGAGGTCCCGGGCCCGGGTTCAAATCCCGGTGGGGGCAGATGTTTGTGTGATGAATACGAGCATTTGTACACCAGTCATGGATGTTTAATATGTATTTTCTATATAAATGTACTTATATATGTACAGTATATGTATTCTATCCGTTACCCTAGTATCCCATAACACAAGCCTTACAGTGCTTACTTTGGGGCTAGGCTAATTGGTGTGAGTGTTGGAAATATTTATTTATTTATTTTGTATCGACGCGATAATCCTGTTGTACTCATAATTCAATGTAAATATATAGTCCGCGTAGCCGCGTATAACATTGCATTATATTCCTCATTAATGCAGCATTAGTGAAGAATACTTAACCAGCACAGCATCTGCATTAATTGATGCCAAGCTTTTACGGATGCGGATTCATATCAACAAGTAAAGACATCGACAGAAAGTCGGCGGAACCAGAGTGCTTAAAATGATATTAAGTAAGGCTGCTGTAGTCTTATTCTTAAAATTAATATGATTAAAAATCGCTAAAAAATATCGATTGTCCTTTTTTGATGTGTAATATCTTTCCTCTCGCTTTCGTGCAATTTGTGGAAGTGATTACGTGAAGTGGGACGGAAGTGTGTAACAGGAAGTTTTGGAAGCGCGCGCTATTTGATTTGATTGAAGAACATAATGTTCAAATGGCTTATTCCTTTTGTAGTAGGTTTTATTTCTTTTTTTAACTAATATAAGGTGAGGTTTCAAATGTTACACATCACGAATTTCAAACGAAACCACACAAAATCTCCGAAGTTCTCAATTAATTAAATACATTTTTTTTTAATCAGGTTTTGGTGGACATTTGGTTCACTGGTTTGCTAGTTATTTATAATTACAACCATAAAATTTAATAATTCATTCAAAAACAAACCATGATTCACAGATATTGATATGAACTTAATATTGAAATATCTTTATAAAATCCTGTAATCCGCTTCGGCATACGCGGATGTGAATCTCTAATAATCCGTATCCGCGGATGTTAAAATTTTCGCATCCGCAAAAACAAATCCGTAAAAAAACTCTAGTGAAAGGTATAGGGCGAATAAGTCATGGCCCCTCACGCGGTCCCGGTGCGATTTGGTTAATTTACTAATGAATGAATGAATGAATATATTCTTTATTGCACTATTACACACAATACAGAGAACATAAAACACAGGAACAAAAACACAAAAGGCGGCCTTATTGCTAAGGTAGCAATCTCTACCAGGCAACCTTTGGCTAAATAAAACCATACCATAAGAATAGTAGAAACAGCGGGCTAGTGCATTGTAAAAATAAATAAATAAACGTAAATATAAGAATATATAATATAGTAAGTATATAAGGAAGCTATAAAATACAATAAATATACTAAGATAAATGTAATTAAATAGTATGATTTATTTGTAATCGCAGGTTTGGCAAGTTTTACCAGACGAAGCACCAACCGATGAGGAGACTATGGTTGTGGAGACCTTACGGAATGAGGCCAGCGATGACCTCAGGAATGTAAGTTTACTTATTCTTTCACGTAAAACGGGTTGCAAACATACATATGGTCTCCCAATAGTAACTAAGAATTTACTTAGGGGAAAAAATATGGACGATTAACTTATACTAACGAAGGAATAACTTAGAATTTACTTAGGAAAAAGAAATATGGACGATTCAAAAGAGTTGTATTTTGCATCCAGTTTGAATAAAGATATTTGGACTTTTGACTTCTTTAGGCGCGTTATGAAAAAATGATGAGAGTGAAATTTTAAGATGCGCGCGCATCACTGTAACACAAAAAAATCATCAACTTCATACTGTTTCTTTTGGGTTTACCGCACATTAAGAAAATCTACCAACAAAATAGAAATAGAATCTCTATTTAGTGGGTGCTAACGACTGCATTGTGAAGGCCTAACAAAAGTATTTTTTTTTTAGGTTGAGTTAGTATAGAACTATCGTTTTGATTCTGGTAATATTTTAGATAAACATCAGAAAGTAATTTTTTTATTTAATTTTATTGCAGTGATGATAATCTTAGTAAATTTTTGTTTCAGACATTGGGACTGAACATTACAAAGAGGTTGCTGAACAAATTCAATCCTTTGAATGTCAAAGTAAGTTTGGTGTGTTATTGGTGACTTATTTATTTCTTAATAAAACATAGAACTTTACTCATAAAGTAGCGGTTTATCTGCTTAGATTGAACTAATCGTCTGGTGAAGTACATAAGTTCCATATTCTAGAAGAATGCAAATTAAATTATCTATTAGATAAAAACTAGTTTAACGGGTTAATGCACGAAATTTTATTTATTTATTGACGCTTCGCAGCCTTTTCAGGTCTGCATAGTCAGAATACTGATTTTGAAAAAAAAAACAGTATTCTGACTATGCAGACCTGAAAAGGCTGCGAAACGTCAATTAATAAATAAAGTTTCGTTCAGTAACCCCTTAAAACTAGTTTTATTTAATGAGTGATGTGCGTGAAAACCTAAGAAACAAATATTATCTATTAGAATTATAATTTTTATTTTTCAAGCATGTAACTGCTTGATGTTTAAATCTAAAGAAGCTAGGTCTAAAGAAGAAGAATAATCTTAAGGGTGCGGTTTCAAGTCCCGTCTGCTGCCTGGTCCGCGTGGAATTTTTTCTAGTTATATTTCTTTAGATCTATTAGAATGTTATTGGTGTCGATTATGGCATGATTATCAAAATTTAAAAGTAAATTTAACATCAGGCTTTCCTTTCATTCTGTGTAGCGAATAGTGCAACGATAACAAGCAAGGATAGACTGTTGTCAAAGGAGATTGCTCAGCTTCCATACATGTTTGGCCTAAAGTAGGAAGGAAGTAGTTGCTTCAGCTGGTGTCTTATGTTTGCTGATGATCTAAAGCTTTATTTGGGTGTCAGTAATCATATGGATGCTGAACTGCTGCAGCACGATATCGATGCAGTAGCCAAATGGACTGTTGAAAACCGTCTACAATTTAATGAGCAAAAGTGTAGTATTATGATTTTCAGCAGATCCAATAAGTTGATTGACTTTAGATACACGCTCAATGCTAATTTTCTACAGACTGTGAGTGAGATTCGGGACTTAGGGCTTAAACTAGATTCGCGGCTAGACTTCCGGAAACACATTAAGGAAATATGCAAAAATGCGAATAAAATTCTGGGATTTGTAATGAGATTAAGCTCACAATTCAGCGACGTAAGAATACCTCTAATTTTGTATAATGCATACGTCAGAAGCAAACTGGAATACAACGCGATTGTTTGGGACCCGTATGAACATAAATACAATTATATGATTGAGAAGATACAACGCAAATTTCTCAGGTATATTTATAAGTGGTTGTATGGTTATTATCCGTTTATGTACCCATCTATGTTTGTATCTGGTATGGTGGGGCAGGATACTCTCGCCTCGCGTCGGAAAATCTCTTTGGCTTTGCATTGCCATGCGATCATCCATAATAAGGTTGACAATCCAGTGGTTCTTGCAAATATGAAACTGGTCGTTCCGAAAAGACACATGAGCGGAGCGTTGGGCAACGACGTAGGGGCGCCACGCAGACGAACAAAAGTTTTTGCGGAGCTTAAGGGAGTCCGTACGCGACGAGCTCAAAATGCACCGACTTCGAGAGCAATCTCTTTGCTTAACGCTGTACATGATCGAATTCCGGAGGCTGACATATTATCCCAAAAATTATGTGCGTTTTGTTATTATTTAATGTTATATTTAAGTTGAATGTATAGTGTTTAGCTGTTAGATTTGTTTTTTTTTTTTTTTTTAACCAGTGTACGTTTTGGTCTAGCACTGTAAGCATACTGTGTAATAAATAAATAAAGACCAATAATCATGAAAAATTGTTTCCTAGATTCGAAATTATATATAAATTACTGTAGAAACGAATATTATTGACGGACACCCCTGAGAACTTCTATAAACCATACACTGAACATATTAAAATAATAAAAAACAAATAAGTTATATAGTAAACTAGGGAAATCAAGCCAAGTACCGAAATTATGGATTAGATTCAGGTATATAGAGCATGTAGATTAACAGATAGTTGCCTGTTTTTAAAGTTAATGCATAAGAGTAACTTTTAAAATCAGGTGTCATTTCCGGTTATAATAAGGTACTCTGTGACAGAAACTGTGTGATGATTGTGAATGAGCCACAGATTAGAGAGAATTTTTTAAACTCTCGTTAACCAAAGAAAGCTAAGAGATTTAGGTTCTATAACCATATATTCAGTAGCTTCATTATTTTTTTTATGCTTTTAAGATAACCATATTTTAGATTTTTAGTGTATCATACCTTATAATTTTATTTATTTATTAATTTATAGGCAGGGAACGTAAGCCCATAGATAGATACCTTAAAGTCTACTTTTATATACAGATTATAATGTGTTTATGGAGGTGTTTGGCGAAAAATGTATGGCAATAGACTATGATGTCGCCTACCATCTATAATAATTGTCTGAGCACATTTGCATCTTGTAAAATGATAATATAGTAAGTTGTGGATATTAATACCACAGTGGAATAAAAAAAATATTTATTTTATCGATCTTTACAAAATAGATTTGTTTTTATGTTATATATACAAGTTCGATCAGTCTTTGGCTGAATGTTACTACACCCATAGCCATTAAAAATGATTTGTATGTTTTCCAAACCGGTAAAAATAAAAGTCCTTTTTAAAGTAAATATATTATACAAAGGTGTCCGTTGAAATCTAATTACTGTAAATTTAATTATAAATTACGCCAAGAATTACCGTGTATGTCAATATTTTTTGTGCATTTAGGCCAATTTGAGCAATCTCCTTTAATCAAATATATAAAATTCTCGTGTCACGGTGTGCGTAATTGAACTACTCCGAAACGGCTCGACCGATTTTCGTGAAATTTTATATGCATGTTCAGTAGGTCTGAGAATCGGACAACATCTATTTTTCATCCCCCAAATGTTAAAGGGCGATCCTCCATTAAATTTTTTTGTTTTTATTTTTTTATGATACATCATACAAAATACATACAACCCTAAATTATCACCCATTCTACCACCAATCCCTATTTTTTTTATGGCGGTATGAAGTTCGCTTTGGACAGCTAGTAACAAACAAAAACAACGACGGGGGGAGTGGCAGAAAATCATGAAATACTTGTGACGTTATTGATGGATGACCCCAAAGCACAGACACTGCTAAATTATTGCCTTTTTTGTCTCGTTAAAGGTACATTTCTCCACCAAACCCGAAAGAAAGTATTTGCAATACTTCCTGAAGCGATACAACTTCGTCGCGTTCAAGCGGATCCTGAGGGTGACCAACACTTTCGCCGCCCAAGTGAAGACCATCGCAGACTTCGACGACTTGTGCAGCACCAAAAATATATACTGCGGTAAGTTACAAAATAATTACGGAGAGCTCGATGGCGCAAGTGGTTAGCGCGTTCGGCTGCGATGGTTGAAGTTAAGCAACCTTCGCAGTGGTCAGTCATTGGATGGGTGACCGAAAATTTACTATCTCAAGCTCCTCTGTGCTTCGTAGGCACGTATAAGTTAATGTAACCTTATTGGTACAATAATTACAAACATGTATGTTAAGTCATTTTAGAGTCTGTGAAGACGTTTTCAATCATGTGACAAATAGATTTTATTTTTTCATATTATATACTGACCCTAACAACGGTCAAGAGTCCGTTTGTGTTAGATTTATTTACAATTGAGCAACTGGTGAACAAAACGGTTTAATTACATAAAATTTAATTTTAAAGAGCTGTATAAAATTGAATGCATACCTCTAGTGAGCTTTTGGCATGGTTTTTAATTTATGAAGTTACTAATTTTAACACTGTTTTAGGCGGTTTTAATTGTAAATTATTCGAGAATCAAATTTAACGGGCCCAAAACCTCCGGACTGTATAAAAAGTAGTTTGACCAGATGCGTAATTATACCGTTCTGTTCGCCAGCTCCTCAATTATTGTTGACAATTTATTTATTAATTAAAATATTTATCTGTAACAGGCGCAGCCAAGATTACAATAGCACCATGCTATAGATTTACCCAATGTCCCAAGAACATAAAAACCATATATGGCACTCCAGAAGAAGATAATAATGCTTCTAGTAATACGGAAGGACAGGAGCATATGGAATCTTTTGATAGTAAAACGGAACCAAAAGACACCAACACTGAAAAAGAAAAACATCAACCAAAAGAAACCAAAGCTGAAATAGAGAATTTGCAAGAAATTCCTTCTAATAACACTGACCAAAAGAAAGCCAGCGAAACGATAAATAAGAAACTGGATGATAACAAATCATCTAGCAAAACAGATACTATGAAAGCAGATGAAAATGCCTCAACAGTTACTAAAACTGGCAATTCTAATGTTAATAGGAAAACTACAGATGCTAAAAGTAATATCCAAGAAACTAAGGTTGCATCTGAAACTAAAGCAAAGACCGTGGAAAACAAAACACCCATTAAATCTAGTCCAAACAATTCAAATACTAATAACACTGCAAACATCCAAACTCAAAGTACAGTTTTAAATAAAAAGAACGAAACGAGCAATACTTCCGCCAAAATGGCTGAAGATAATAAAACTACAGTAAAGAATACAAACGCTACAAATAACAAGACTGCCAGTGCTTCTTCCATAAAACAAAGTAGCAATAATACTAATACTGTTTCAACTACAAAGCCAAATGATAATAAAAATGAAACTGTTTCAAAAACCCCAAAAGTTGTTAGTGCTACGAAATCCATAGATGTACAAGATACTAAACCTGCAACGACAGTCAAGACTCCCAATACAAAAGTGGGTAATAATAATACTACTGCAACTACAGCAAATGCCAAAAATATTAATAAACCCACTGGCAAACCTGCAAATGTCACACCTTCAACTAAGACTAATACTAAAAGTGTTCAACCTTCAACTAAGGCAAATACTAAAAGTGTTCAACCTTCAACTAAGACTAATATTAAAGTTGCGGGCAAAGTTACAGAAACCAAAACTGTCACAAATACTAAACCAAATACAAAACAAGTAGTCAAAAAAGCAGACACATCTAATGTTAAAAAACAATCTGACACAAAGAAGACATCGAAAGGGGATGATTTTGAAGAATTAGATGACAATGAGTTGTACCAATATCTTATGTCTGCAGGAATCGTGTTAGACGAATGTAGCGGTTCTGATGACGAATAGCTTTAAGTTTAAAATAAAAATAAAGTTAAGATGGGAATATATTATATCACAAAACTGTTTATTGATTTAGAGGAAAATAAATGACTAAATGATTATAGTGTTCAATTATTTACTGTTTTATCCGAACAAAAATTTCGTACACAAAAATATCATTTTGAGTATTATCGTTGGTACCAGAAATTCACTGATTCAATTATTTAGGTAATTCGGCAGTTTCCACTACTTCATCCTCCACCTGAAACAATAAGAAAAGATTGTATATTGTTTGTGGTTTTGTTTTTGGATCGTACACTAAAATAATAACCTATTTTAAAAGATCTAAAGGATTACTAGAAGGTCCGAAGGTTCTGCTAATCAAAATACGAACTCAGACATAGCACAAAAGTATGCCCTTGTGGTATGCCCTAATAAAATCAAAAGTCGGGTGGTTGGTACCTATAAAACAGTTAAGAATTTGTTCTACTGCCAGGGGGCTACCGCCTATCGGGATTGCTTTTGCTATTCCTGTAGCTTATGATTTAGTATTTCTAGTTGTAGTTAAGCAACTTTCGCAGTTGGATGGGTGACCAAAAATCTTCTATCTCGAGTTCCTCCATGCTTCGGAAGGCACGTTAAGCCGTTGGTCTCGGCTGCATCTGCAGTCGTTAGCACCCGCCAATCCGCACTGGGTCCATAGGGAAGGCCTGTACCCCAGCTGTGGGGACATTAATAGCCTGATAATGACGATTTATATTTTGTTATTTCCAACCGCCGAAGTTTTTGAAATATGACTCACTCGTTTTGCATTAGTTATTCAATATTAAAAAAAATAAACGCGAGATATTTGAAAACCTTCGGCGGAATCATAGCTATAGCAATACTAAAAAGCAATCCCCGGTAGGTCCCCTGTTCTACGGCTCAGTATTCACTATGTACAGATCTCAGAATAATTACTGAAAACATTACAATGCCTTTAGTTATATTATTCTGAGGTACAGTTACAGACAAAGATCCACAGGTCTAGTTAACCAAAAATACGTAACTATTAACCAAAAATACGTATATTGCGTTTTAGCTTGCTCCATTTACCATGTAATTTTATTTATTCATGTGGTGACGTGTTCTGTAGCTGGTTTATATTAAACTGCATACCTACTTAACTATCTATCTAGCAGGGCCGGATTTAGAGGTATGGGGGCCTGGCAACAAAGGAGTGGAAGCCCCCTTATATCCAAATCAGGGTCCGGACCACTTACGATTTGCATCCCCGCACCTCCCCATCTGATTTGGTGACCCGTCAAGATTCTTTTTTTTTTATATATATTGTGGTCCTTGGGCCACGGCCCTGCCTGCATTGTCTTAAATTCGGCCCTGTATCTATCTAACAATTTAAAGATGCCGATTTAACACAGTCTATATTCAATTTAATCTAGGCTATGGTACCAGTAAGATGAATCTACTGATGAGCTAAACTGATCTTACAAAAAATATTATAAAAACTGTTATAACTTTTTGAAATTTGGCGCTGTATATATCTGATAAATTAAAGATGGCGATATAGCACAGTCAATCGATTAAATCTAGGTTATGGTACCAGTAACATGAATCTACTGATGAGCTAAACTGATCTTGTAAAATCAATTATTACTTTTTGATTATAACTTTCAGTATTTATTGTACTACGCGTTCGCTTCGAGTTGGCCACTCCCACCCTCTTCGTCTCGCCGCACTGCGCTCCTAGACAGACTAGTCGACCCTATTGGTCGACGCGACGGAACCAGTTGATGTCATAGAGGTATAAAAATAAAGTGGGGAAGGCGGCTCTAAAAGTGTCAGTCTAGTAGAAAGAGAAAGAAGATGAGAGACCGCTAGCTATCTCTCTCTCTTGTGACGCATGGCATCCAATGGCATCACATCAAAATAGTAAGATGCTTACGGTTGCCAATGCGCGCGATTAGAGAGAAAAGCTAGCGGTCTCTCATCTTCTTTCTCTTTCTATTAGAGGGACATATCCACTTGTAGTAGAGTCTATATGTCCCCTACTCTATTCTTGTACCTCTATGGTTGATGTGCCTGTGATTGGCCCTTCAACGTCATTTTGTAACGGTCATCGACGGCCAACTCGACGCGAGCGGATAGTATAAACAGAACCATGTGTTCATTCATAGATTGCGGAGCATTTCAGAGGCTCTCCGTTTCTTCGGCGCAGCGGCCTCGACTCGTTTGCGTTCCGCTTCCATCACATCGGCGATATCATAAACTTCCTTAGAGGCCACCTATGTGTGAGAGAGAATTCTAAGTTTAAGCAAGATGTATTTTAAAGTTGCCTAATATGTGATACGTGTATGTATGTACTTCTGCTGTTTGAATTTACTTTTTTCTCCGTCTTCTAAGCTTGTGGCATCTTGGCAGATCCGATGATTCTAATGAACCAAATATTCCTCTACCTACATAGATTCATTTACACGATGCATTTTTTTTGCAAATACAAGAGCAATAATTGAATGCAATAAATGTGGCGCAATAATTGAACTTCAAGAATTGTAAGCAACCGTTTACATGCGGACATAGTAAAAAGGTTGCATACAATTTTTTTTAAAGATAGATCCGACAAATGACTTCACCCCTCCTGATGTTAAGTTACAGTGAAGTCCAGACGTGAAGATAGCTGGGACAGCATTTCTACCTGCCACACCAGCCATCTTCACCTTGCCGGCCTGCATGCTGCTTCTTAACGCCTCTTTTAAAGGATCCCAGGACATGCGGACATAGTAAAAAGGTTGCATACAATTTTTTTTAAAGATAGATCCGACAAATGACTTCACCCCTCCTGATGTTAAGTTACAGTGAAGTCCAGACGTGAAGATAGCTGGGACAGCATTTCTACCTGCCACACCAGCCATCTTCACCTTGCCGGCCTGCATGCTGCTTCTTAACGCCTCTTTTAAAGGATCCCAGGACATGCGGACATAGTAAAAAGGTTGCATACAATTTTTTTTAAAGATAGATCCGACAAATGACTTCACCCCTCCTGATGTTAAGTTACAGTGAAGTCCAGACGTGAAGATAGCTGGGACAGCATTTCTACCTGCCACACCAGCCATCTTCACCTTGCCGGCCTGCATGCTGCTTCTTAACGCCTCTTTTAAAGGATCCCAGGTTGTAAGAGGGAGGAAACACGTGAGCAGGCAGATTCCATTTACGGATAGTGCGGCAAAGAAATGAGTCACCAAATTTCTTTGTACGCGTTAGAATTGTGGCCACGCCACAGTTAAACGGTGACGACGAAGGTCAGCGCGCGTGGTCCTCTGACGGAAAGGGAAAGATATTTTTTTATATTGGGATTATAACGCTATCTTAGTCGGGAGGAGGAGGAGGGAGGGCGTCAGGGGGGAGGTCAGTGGGAGTCTGGGGTAGGGGGGTCATATTATTTACTTATATCTACATTTGAAGTCTGCTTGGGTTGGATTGGATTTGCCTTCCTATTCAATTCATTTTACACAAAGTCTTGAAGTCCAGTAGTCCGATGTGATTAATTATGTATGTGTTGGATAGTGCATTTATGGAGGAAGGTTATACGCTATATAAAATAATGCTACAACCAAAAGGAGCGAAGCAACAATGAAAAATGTTGCAAATACAGAAATCCATTTTACAGCTTCCGTTGCGTGCGCTGCCTAGACGGTAAAAGTTACACAAAAAACATGTATGACGGAATTGTTCCCTTTAAAAGTTCTATAAAAAAAGTCTGGGACAGCATAATATGTCTATCTTTTAAGGGTGACCCACAATAACCTATTTCCTCAAATTAATGTGGCTGAAACTGCGGGGCAGTTCTGGTATTTATAAAACATAAACCCCTTTTAATTGAAGTATGTCACCATAGTAAGAAATTATCTATTCTACTAGATGCTTCGAATGACACTTGTTTCAAATATATTGGGGGGTGGGGACGTTTCTTCCCATTGTCCTTTGTCATGGTTTTATGGAATAACAATGGATTGATGACTTTTCATCAATGTCCTGGCCTCCTGGCACTTATTCACGCTCAGTCATTGTTTAAAAGCATAAACCTATATCAGCCGTTTATAGATTGTACAGCAGTGGACTTAAGACAAACCCTTGGGCAAGGCCTTTCCATGTCTTCCTATTAGGGAAATCTTCACCTTGGACTCTCAAAACCTATGTTCGATCCACCAGTAGGCTGAAGATAATATATGTCGCAATGCCGTGAATCGATTCTGTAAAAGACGATTCAAAAATAGCTTCCTTAACGCTCTCCGATCTAGTCACTGATGCCAGATTGGGGGAATCCCCCTTGATTTGGGGGGTTTTTCAAGCGATTGGGGGATTAATGGGGGGGAAAAAATTGGATTTGGAGGAAATGGTGGTTTTTTAATTACATTTTTTATATATACATAATGCCACTTCATAAACTTTTAATCTGTAAAAAGTCGCGATCAACAGTCAATGAACAGTCTCTTTTGTCATTTGGTATAGTGCATGACAAGAATCTAGACTGTTGTCAAATTAATTTTTATTAGGAAATCATGCCAGAATCGGGCCCACTGAACTGTGTTCATTCAGTGAGCTCGACTCAGACCCTTAAGTCCAAAGCTCACTTAAAAAAGTACTTTTTCTTCAGTCCATTCCGTCTAGCTAGCTCAGTCGCTCGGTCAGTCAATCCATGTCAAGTCAGTCAGTCGTTATTGGTCGTTAGCTTAAACTGCAAATCGATTTGACACTAGCATCTTTGCTCTGCTAAATCGTAATTTATCCTTTTATTTGTTTGTACCTTGGTAAGCTAATGGCATTATCAAAACAAAGTTATGTAATAAGATTTAGAAACTAGTGGGAAAGACGACGAGTGCGAAGATGTTGATCTAGTAATGGATGCTATTGCAAACATACATATTTTGTACTAAATAATGTATTTTTTAATAAATATTTTGCATGCTGCAAGGTTTTTGATTTAAAAACCTGTATATTGGGGGGATTTCGGGTAAGTTTTGGGAGGAAGGCGAAATGGCTTTCTGGTAACACTTTATAAAGCTGAATGACATGATTGTGTCCACGGTCTTAAATTAAAAAAATGCTTTATCTATCTCTCATCCAGTGTGACCACTTTTAGCAGAATTCTGTGATTGTAGCAGAATATGACCCCCAATCTAGGCCTTAGCATAATATATGGCAGATTGGAAAAAGTTAACAGATTTTAGCATAATCTAGAAAACTTCAGCAGAATATTAACAGATTTCAATATGAGTTTTATTTGAATAGTTGTGCAAAACATAAAAAAAAAATACAATTTCTAATTACTGTACGGTTTCTTCTTGTTGTGCTACGCACCCTTTTCAGGAGAACTCCCGAAACATGCGAAATCGATATTTTCCCTTGAGGAGCTGTATCAGTGAATTTTCTTTGTATTGGATTAGCGGTTAACTGTTTAGTAATCCTTTGTCAACTGTGTATCGTGTGTCCGAAAATGAAAAGAAAATGTGATCAAAACTATCGCTCGGAGTGGGAAGAGGTTCCTTAGTTTTCATCTTGGCTATCAAGAGCGAAGGGTGACGCAAATGCCGCTTTTGGTAAAGCCTGCAATATGAAATTAATGTAAATACAGACCTATTAAACAGATTTACAAATAAACGTTTCTGCAGTTCTTCTTGTTAAGCAAACAGTGAAACTAGATGGTTGCGTAAATTTAACACCGTCAAGATTTTTTTTTTATATATCACATTGCTCATTAAGATGATAATAGCCCAAAACTCGGAGGTTCTCTATAAAAACGTTAACAAGACTGAATAACAATTAAATTTTAATAATATATTTAATCAATAAAAAATATATACATACAATACAATCAGTTTTATTTTACATATTTCCATAAAAAATAAAAGTATAATTAGTTACCAGAATTTTAGCATTTATCAAAGAAAGTTAAGCAGAACTTAGCTGATTTAAGCTCAGTCGATAGCATAGTGGCTAATTTAAATCTGGTCACACTGCTCTGATCTGTGGTCTAAAAATTGATCGGATCGGTCCGTGACGGTCGTTTTTGGATTAATTGTGAAATAAAGTTGCATCTATACAGTTTAAGCTGCAACTTAAAGATCGGGCATACGTACCAATAACCAAAAAAGTTAAACATCCAAGATGCCCCGAAATTATCCTCGTTTTCATAAAAATGGACCACAAAATCAAAATGGCCCATTGATGACGGATCACATCGAGCTTCGGGTAAATGGTTTTTTACATTTTTTACTTTATCTTTATCGGAAGGGGTCAGTATGAAATAACCACGATTAAAGGCTCCAAATTTGTTTTAATCTAAAGCTCCAAACCAAATAAAGTACTACTACTTTGTAAAGGTATACCTTTATTTGCTTGCTCAAAGACAAGTTCCGTTGTTCGCTTGCCGGTATTACATTGACAGAATCCCGAAGGCAAGCCATCACAGTAGAAATCTAATCTAACAATCGAGTATTTGTTAATAATTCTCTGTAGATAACAATGATAATAAACAGTTATTATATTCGTCAGACTCCTCACAGCACAGAACTTAACATGATGAGAGCATATACAATTCCTTTTTCACACTATCCTATGAACTGATTTTAGACTATATTTACACCCAAAAATGTGTATTTTATGTTATTGTAGATTGCCTCTCTTTACATTAATTATATGTAAGATTTTTTCTAATCTTCATCATTTTTTAAAACTTAATATTTTAAATACTATGCTATACATTTATTTAACAAAATAACATAATTTGTGCATCCATCGATCTACAGTAAAATGAAACTTATTCCGAGAATATACAAAAGGCGGTTTACCTTAGCTACACTTGAAAATAGCGTCAGGCACCCTTGTTAAAATAACTTGATTACTTTTCTTTACATTTAAATAAATAAGACAAGCATTATAGTGGCTATAAAAATATATTTCAAAGAGCATAAGTTTTCACTTGAAAACGTACTTACATTGCCTATTTTCACAATTTTGCCTTTGCTATAATGTGCTAAAGAAAGTATTTTTCTTGTCTTTTACGATTCTAGTGCAATTGTCTCACCATAACACCACACCAATTTGAAATAAATCTGCTAATTATACTAAAATTTTGGACTCACTTTTACCACTTTTTTGTCAGTCAGCCATTCAGTTCCCTATATACAATAGATAACCATGAACATAATTAATTTTTCACAACAGGATTTAGACTTAGAGTTAGAGTTGCTGAAACGCAAAAGACAAATGATTGAGCAGCAGCAACAACAACTATCCAATGAACGCCACTACAATAACCAACCGGTAAGTTATAGTATAAGTAATAGATTTTATGCAACCGTGGCCCTTATGGCAGTGTCGATTTCTGTCTAGCCTTTCTTTAGATGCAAGGCAGACCCATCTCTACATTGTAGGTAAGCCACAATGTCAAATGATTACCTTTACAAGTATTAAACATTTGAAAGAAGAATTAGCAATTATAATTTTTATTTTTCTAGTAATATTTTCTTTAGATTTATAAATCAAGTAGGCACATGCTTAAAAATAAAAATTGTAACTATAAATATGACTGTTAATATAAGGAAATTTTTAGAATTTCATGCCTCAAAAGGATATAATGGAACCCATATAGGATCGCTACATTAACCATCTGTTAAGACCCTTTATCTTGGGAATGCATGTTTGTATCAAATTAAAACGATGCAATTGTGTATGGTCCCTTAAGGCTGAGAAATAATCAAACTTATAAGTTAATGTAAAAAAAGATAATGTCTTTTATGTTGCATACCCAGAAATTTGTATGGGTACCTTCAGTGGGCGAATCCAACATGTACTTGCCTAGTTTTTTTATTACTCTGATAACAATAGTATTACATACTTTATAATGTTTTGTAAGCTGCAAAAACTTCATAATAAGTAATTCGCAAACAAATAGTTTAAAAGGCAAATATTCCTTATTAAATATTTGTATAGCAAGAATAAACCTACACCTCTAAGGTTAAGTTTAGTTTAGTAGCTAGACAAAGTTTTGGACCATGTGATTATTTAATAAATCATCTGAAATAATGTATATTTTATTCTCAGAAAAATGTGTACATTTGTTAAGGGGTGGCTGAAAAACAGCGTTGGTTCAGGTCTCCAGGCTTGACCAACATTCGATGATCCATTCCCTATTGTCTTGTTTTTAAGTAAATATTATTTAAATATCTGTTAGCATGTAAAAAAGAAAATAATTTATTATTATTATTTCACCTGGATCACTGAGATTTTCTCTTTTGTTGTACAAAACAAACAGTACAGCTGGTTTTTTTTTGAAAATCATATCGTAATTATAATTTAACAGAAGCTCTTGAGTAAAATCAGATAAAATACACAGCAGTTATGTTTTACTCATTATTCTATTTTCTAAATATTTCAGAGAAATTACAATTTTAACCAGTCTCCTCAAATGTACCAAGCACCACAACAGCAATATAACTCAACCCAGTTTTCTTCTCATACTTTTGGACAATCAGGTCCATCTTTTAACCATTTTGAGGGTGGCCAAGGTACTTCACTTGGCAAGCGGCAAAGTGATTCTAGGTGGAATCCCAGCTCTGCACCTAAACGATTCTCAGGACCTACAGGAGGCTCCAAGAAAAAGTTTAGTGCAGGCTTTAAGAGTAGATCAGATTCTTTAGCTGACAGGCCCGCACCGTTTGTGAATCAACAAGCCCCAATCAGCAAACAACATTCTCAAAATGTCACTCAGAGCCAACAGCAAGCCTGGAACCAACTTCCATTCTATATGGGTAATAATAAATATACCCCACCCAGTCAAAGGTTCAAGAGCACTAAAGCTAAACCTGCCCACACAGATTTCAGACCTACCAAAGTTACTAAATCAAAAGTGACGTCAGCAAATATTGGATATAAACTCGTTACATATCCAATTCCTAAACGAAAGGTGCCCACCAAGGAAGTTCCCAAGTCGGCAAGCAAAGCGGATGAGAAGGGCGATTTTATTTTGCACGCTGATAGAGTGCCGACTCAGCAAGTAGCTGGTCGCTTAGAATTGGCACTGGGTAACATATTGAAAGATGTTAAACAAAAATATGGCGAGGACGATGAATATAAAGCTAGTTTCCTTCACCACATTTTCTTGCGGGAAGTGAAACAGGCAATTCGTGAACGCCTGCGGACCGTCATGCTCGGGAAACACGTCGGCAAAGTCGAAGACACTGTCGAGCACTACCGAAAAGTGTTTCCAATCGAATCTGATAAGGAAATGGTAGATCTTGCAATGGAAGTGCTGAACGTTGTCAAGCGCAAACTGCTTATCACTAAACTCGACGAAACAGGTAGATATTTCCCATTTTTGATACAATTTGAAAGTATTATAATTTTTAAATATTATTTTTCAATTATGCAATTTGCTATATGTAAACTGCATATAAATACACTGAGAATTTATTGGTGTAGATGAGTTACAACTGCTAACATTGTAGAAAAACTTGGAGTTTGACTTTTAATGTTAGCTTCTGTACTCCTTATTATTAACATTGTCTTCGTATATTTTTCAATTCGTCCCAAGAGTTGCATATAAATAAGCTATAAATGTTTAGTATATCAATACATCTATAATTTATATAGATGCTTTGAGTCTGGACTCAATCCACCCATCTCGTATCACAATATCTATCAGTTTGACATTTGAAAGATATACTTCAAGTTTAAACGAAGAAAAGTCTTTCAAATTTAATATATTTATTTTGAAAAATTTACATACTTCAGGCGCCAATGAAGTTTGTAAATAGCTTTTATATTCCAAACTGAAGGGTATTTCGTTGATAGGAGTTGTTAGGGGTCAGGTGGGGAACAGTTACAGGCCAAGCCTTCTATTTAAAAAACTACCAAGTACTTTGTTTTATATAAACCAAAATTCTATCTTCTTTTCTCTAAATCAGAAGGCAGTATTAGTATATAAATGTTAATAAATAACTAATAGAAAATTATCTTAAGATGACTAATGGTATTAACGTATTACAGATTCTCCTGAAAATTATTTTAAAGTTAACATTGATAAATTACTTGACACATCATTGGACGAAATGTTTAGAAAGGTAATTATAAATATACTTCCAGACTTAAGATCTGACGCTTGTCTATTCACAAAACATAAGCACCTGCTGATCCATCCTCTTCTTTCAGTTACAAAAAATATATGGAGCTGATTCTATAGATTACACAAAGGAACTGTTCACTGAAGACACAAAAGAAAAGTCGGATGCAATCGATGTAGATAATGAGAAAAACAAAGTCGAAAACGTAGATGCTGCTGAGGATGTGGAGTCTAAAGAAAACACTGAAAACTCAGCAGCTGATGCATTTGCATCAGCACAATCAAATCAAAATGTAGAAAACACTGAAACTACAGAATCTGAACAGAACTTGGAAAACATAGAAGCTGTAGAATCTGAACGAAATACAGAAGCTGCTGAATCAGAACAAAATATTGCTACTACTGATGATAATAAGGAGGAAACCAAAAATGAAGAAAATAGTATTGAAGATGAAAATATAAAGAAAGAAGAAAACAAAAACAATGAGCACATTTCAGAAGTGAATACAGAAGCTAGTGCTTCCATAGATGCAAATGCAGATGGACAAGAAAACACATTGGTTGACCCTCAAAAAAGAGTCAAGAAAATGGAGTATATGATGAAAAATATAATAAACCGCAAGTTAGCCAGCCTTTTACCAAAGTACAAACTTGTAAGTGTTTCAACTAGAATGCTGTATTTTTTTATAACAATATATCAGTCTAATGTTTTTAGGACATTAAAATAAGTAACACTACTAATTATCTTGCAGCAAATGATAAAAATATTGAGGGCTAATGAAAAGTATAATGCCACTAAAGAATTGCTACTAACGAAACTGCAATACAAGCTGTCGGTAGAGAAACAAATGGAAAAAGCTTCAGGAAAAGGGTCGGCATCTTTGAAGACTCCAGTAAAGGCCTCCCCGCATAAAACTAAACCTGACAGTTCCACGCCTGCATCGACCCCAAGAACCACCTCACTCTATTATGCAAAGGTATTGACGATAATTCTACTAATATAAATAGGACATTTTATATGTTTCTTACACGATCATGCAAAAACAGTTGAAAGGATTTCGATGAAATTCGGCACACATACTTTTTATCCCGAAAAAATTTTAGGTTCCTCTGAAATTCTCAAAAACCATGGGCTAAGTCGCAGGCGGAAACTAGAAAAGATAAAATAATGTTTTTTTGATATAATTATTTATTTTTTGGGGGTTTTTTCATTTCCGTAGCTTTATTAACTCTTGGAGCGTAAAACTTAGGTTATATTATATTCAAAATCGATAGGGAACCTCGCTTATGAAAAGGTTAAAATATGGTTTGTTTTAAATTTATTGCTGATTTTGTCTTCTTTTATTAGCAAAGATGACGACATAAATGATATTCCGGTTTTAACGTTAACGTTTTGTAATAAGCAACTTTGAGTGTTATTAACGTTTGTTTGAAGAAAGTAATTTCCTCGGCATTTAAACATTCATAAATCTTAACTTGACGCCAAAACATTTGTATGGGAGTTGGCTGTACTGTATGAATACAGTCCAGCAAAGGGCCCTAATATTTTCCTCCACAGTTTAAACCCGATCCTATAATTTCAACCTGATGGTTCCTGTGCTCTAAATTTTACTTTTGTTTAAAGTAATTTAATCTAGTTATATTATTGATAGAAAGCGAGCGCGTGAGATGGTTTGCGCGAATTTTGTTGATAAAATCAAATAGCATCACGCGAACGTATACCGGGATACTTATTTTAGTAACGTAACTCTGTTAGCGATTCGTATATTACCGAAATTCTCACGATTCATATTCAATTAGAAATACTTCTTGAAAAACATGGTGCCTAAAATTTATTGTTGACCATCGGATTGAACGATTCATTTAGAGTATGAAGTACACGAAATGTATTTTATAAAATATCAAATAATAAACATTTTCAACCCTCACACCCATTAGCCTAGCCCCAAAGTAAGCACTGAAAAGCTTGTGTTATGGGATACTAGGCTAGTGGATAGAATACATGTGCTCGTATTCATCATACTAACATTTGCCCCACTGGGATTCGAACCCTCCTGGGTTCCAATCCCAGTGGGGCGACAGTGTAGGCGACATCTTGAAACCCGACGTACATATCAAAAATATTACATATAACCACTTGTTGCATATAATGTTTTAGGTTCACGGGCGTCCATTTCTGCCTAGAAAGAAAGAAATGCAAAGTTTCTTACAAAAGTTCAACCCGAAGTCGGTTAAGAAGCATAGATCCATGCAGTTGTTGTTTGTTGGGTTCGACAACAAGGAAAACTTCGATAAGATGTTGGAAATTCAAGAAACCATCATAGGTATTTATTCTATACTATTAGATGGAAACACGTCCAAATATGTACTTTTTTGTTGCTAATCACACTTTAAAAGTCATCCTTTTGTAATCCAAATAGTTTTTGTAACTTTAGTTAGAAAATATTATTAATATTTGGATGAGTTTTCACGAAAGCAGTCTTAATTAAAAAAAATAATGTTTTAAAAATCTTAATCATTATATTTATATTAAAACAGATGAAAAGAGAGTTATTATCAAAGCAGGCGAAGTCACCGATAAAAACCAGAAATCTTTAAATGTTTCTGTGATTAGTGATGATGATGACGAAGTCCAAGTGGTCAAGGAAAATAACACTAGTGGCGATATAGTCGGCTCTGATTTGGACGGTCAAATTGATGACCTTCTGACGTCAATAAGGAAAGAAGAAGAGTCGAGCCAAGTTGAAAAAACTGAGGATGCTACAAAAGAAGTTGTTGCAGTTGATGATAAAACTAAAGATTCGAAACCAAATGGAGACGATAATAACGAGGTCCAAGTGATTGCCAATGGCAATCAGAAGGACGTGGTAACAATCGATGATGAAAATGAAGTTGAGGAGGTTCCTGATAACAGTGAAAATGACGTTGAAATAGTACCCGATGCAAGTGCCGAAACTCCTAAAAAAGACGAAAAACTCGAATCGGAATCTAACAAAGCTTCGGAAAATACTGAGAGCGAAGCAGCTGACAAAGTTGAAGCTTTGAAGAGCGATGCGAAGCAAACTGGAAGATCAACGCCTACTAGGGCTTCTGCTCGCATTAATAACTCTACCCCAAGCAGTATACGTACTAGACGCGCGAGCCGTTTGGCCCAAGACTAAACAAACGATGATTAGTACTAATCTACTATTTTAATTCTTAGGTTATGGTTAGTTTTATCTATTATAATTTTAGTTACTGCTGACATGTGGATATAACGTCAACTAGATTTCGAAAACTTGCAAAACCCTTACCCTCTTTTTAACAAACGATGAATAAACTTGGCGCAACTGCATGTTTTGTCTCTGTTCATTAAATGACATTGACATAAGGCACTTCAGTGACATGAACAAAACACGGCGTAACTAGTCCAACTTTTTTTCTTGTTTAATATTAAGGGGGTTACAGGTATAGTTTTAATTACATAACAACACAATTACGTTTCACACAATTCACCATAGAATAGAATGTGACTTGGTAATTTCGATATGTAAGGAAGAATTATTTATCGGTGGTGCTTCAGGTACTGCTAACAAACTTGAACTATTTTTCGAAAACCTCCAAAACCTTCAAATTCGTAGTTCTGTACCCCTAGCACGAACCATTATCGAATTCGAATAGTTTGTGAGTGCGAAATGTCAATGTCAAATTTTGTATGGAAACTTGAACAGCAGCGCCACAAAGTACGTAACGAGAACTAAAATCAGTACACATTTGACAATGACATTTCGGACTCGCAAACGATACGAATTCGATATTGGTTCGTGCTAGGGGTACTGATGACGAACAACACCGTATCGAGTGTCACAAAATTTACTATAGAATAGAATGTCACTTGGTGATTTCGTTAAATATAGAAGATCCAATTTCTCTTTTGCACACTACTGTTTATTTCATAAGAATTGCATCTAATTGTACGTGTATTTCTTTTCAATTGAACTTAATGTAAGTTCGCCATTGACTAGGTATGTTTTACTTATTTTATTAGAATAAAAAGTATATAATGTCACAAGAATTGTTTTTATTTCCATACTACTGCTTGATTACTTTTTAACTACGAATATTGCAATAGTATTTTAGTGACTCTGGAAAACGGGGACATTTTTGAAAAAAAATCTCACTGATTAGATTAGAACACAGCAATAAATAGTAATTTTTAAATCTTATTTAAAAAATGGGTGCGTGTACTTATGTAGGCGCGTGAGAAGTTATCCTTCTTTGGCATCGTTAAAATTAGTTTTTAATTGCATGCAAATAATTAATTACAATAAATTAATAAAAACTCTGGAAAAGGACCCAGTCAATTAAGGTTGAGTTTTAATTTGAAAAAATAAATAAATAATCAAAATATTCAATTAAAATCGCTACTGAATATAATTTATTAGAACATATGTGATTTGCACTTGTATGAAACTCAAACACGTATTCCGAATATACAAACTAGAAACATGTGGATAAATATTATAAATATGAATACCTATAACTGTTACTTTATTACAAAAAATGAAGATGTGGTTTTTGGTTCTACTACACCAATGGTCAAGAGATGGCGCTGTAGTCTCCTGAATCGCGCTTTGGTTCCGTTGTTCCAGATTAATAAATACTTTTGATATTATAAATATGAATACCTATAACTGTTACTTTATTACAAAAAATAAAGATGTGATTTTTGGTTCTACTACACCAATGGTCAAGAGATGGCGCTGTAGTCTCCTGAATCGCGCTTTGGTTCCGTTGTTCCAGATTAATAAATACTTTTGATAGGCCTTCACAATGCAGTCGTTAGCACCCACTAAATACAGATTCTATTTCTATTTTGTTGGTAGATTTTCTTAATGTGCGGTAAACACGAAAGTAACGCATGAAGTTGGTCGCTTTAGCGATGCTGTTAAAATTTTGTGTTACAGTGATGCGCGCGCATCTTAAAATTTCACTCTCATCATTTTTTCATAACGCGCCTAAAGAAGTATAACTTCAAAAATGCTCGTGTCACAATGTTAGTTACCATACTTCTCCGGAACGGCTCGCCTGATTTTTATTAAATTTTATATCCGTATTTAGTAGGTCTGAGAATCGGCTTCTATCTATTTTTCATACCCCCAAGGTGATAAGGGTTGTCCACCCTTAACATTTTTATTTTTTGGAGTTTTTTGTTTTTATTATGTGGCATTAAAAATACATACAACCCTAAATTTTCACCCTTCTACCGCCAACCCCTACTTTTATGGCGGTACGAAGTTCGCTGGGTCAGCTAGTAATATCTAAAATATTATGTCATACTAGCGGCCCGCCCTCGCTTCGCTTCGGTGTAGAGCTGAAGTGTAGACTACAGTTTTTGTTCTCAGGCTTGTATACACAATGACATTCATCTATGATTCTTCTTATACCTGCATGCAAAGTCTGCCCGATCGGTTTAAGATTGAAAAAGTTTCATACAAACTTTCATTCCCTATTTTATCCCCTTGGGGGTAGAATTGATCAAAATCCTTTCTTAGCGGATGCCTACGTCATAACATCTACCTGTAAGCCAAATTTCAGCCCGATCCGTCCAGTGGTTTGGGATGTGCGTTGATAGATCAGTATACTGACTGATCAGTATGGTGACTGACAGATATATCAGTCAGTCACCTTTGAGTTTTATATATGGGTTGTTCTACAAACTAAGGACGAAAATGAGTCCGATTCCGGCCCGACGATTTTTTTTTCATTATGGTTACAAAATATAGTTTATCATAAAGATTACATGGTCTTTTAGCCTATGTTAAGTGGAACAGACAAAATATTGGAGTTATGGCAATTTTAAGAAATCAAGCAGCAGGAAACTGAGATTGAACAAATATCAATCAAAATCAACGTTTATTTAATAATAAATTCACAAATAAAAACTATGCTTCTAACCATTAGTTTGTAATTGTCCAAATATCTTGAACTATCGTGATAATTAAGTCTATTCTTGACTTATACTAATTATCTATCTAAAGTCTTGAACAGGAACTTTATCATTAAATCTACAAAAATAGCTTTAATAAAATAATAATGTTAACAAACATATTATTATTATTTTGACTTCATAGTATATAGCAGAAAAAGTAACATATGATGTTGAACAAAAATTATATTCCAATATAAAGACTCAGGATCCTGCATTTTTCACAGTTATTTGACAGGATCCTGAGACCAGGTTCCTGAGAATTTCGGAATAATATTTAAAAATAACGTCTATTTATAACATTCCAAAATCAAGCAGCATTAAGCCTTCGTGTAAGCAATATATACATCAAAATCCTACAATTACCGTATTACCACATGAATTTCGTAATTAAATATCTTACCAGGATCCTGTGAGCTCGACTGATTATGACGCGACTTCGTCCATCAAATGTGCCGGGCAGACTAAGCAACACACTGGGTGCAAAACAATAGGTGGTATTCTTTGTCTCTTTCGTACCGGCAACAAACTCGGCTAAACGTCAAGGTCGCGCGGCTAATAGAATATTGAATATTCGCTTATTTAACATTGGGCAGGATCCTGATATGAAACTGTTGGGACAACTTCTGGACAAAGTTTTTATAATGTTTTTGTTACAATAAATTAATAATATGTCACCTAGGTAACAATAATAATAGGATATCATTAATATTGGTTAAATTTATGGGCTCAATGTACTTAGAAAATAAATAATATTGCACATTAGATTCAATTTTGCTCGTGGGACACTCCAGGATCCTGGGAATTTGACGCTTTGAGTATTTTTTTTCCTAAGATAATATATTAGTATCTTAATTATTTTTAGAGACTAGGTAGATATAGGTATGGTAAACAATATGTTATGAAAATAAACTTGGTTGTAACAATTTTTTCATGACATTTTAGCTGAGCCGTCGAAAATTCCTTACTTTGTAGAACTACCCATATATAATTAAGCTGTAAAAATGGCATATTCAAATAGGTGACCGGGGTTCATGCCTTTTCACCACTTATTGAAGTGAAACTTCTTTAGTCACGCTTGACTTGGGGTGTAAATTGGCGAATGTGTTACAATTTCGCGTTACAGGTAGTGTCATCAGCGACTCATCGGTAAACAATGAACAATACCCGTCATAAAATACATTAATGGTGGGTGATAACGGACCCAGCGCGGATTGGTGGGTGATAACGGACCAAATGCGGATTGGTGGATGATTACGGACCCAATGCGGATTGGTGGGTGATAACGGACCGAGCGCGGATTGGTGGGTGATAATGGACCCAGTGTGGATTGGAGGGTGATAACGGATCCACCGCAGATTGGTGGTTTTTTTCTATCAACAAATCTTCAGGTTAAGTTTATGATTTTCAGACCATTGGAGCTAATGAAGTTTCACTTTAGTCGTGTAAAGCACACTCGCTTTTTCTTTATTCTTGTGAGTACTCAAAAACTGACATGCTCAGATTCCATTCAATTTGAAGTACATGCGGCGTGTACTTTACTCTAGGTCTGTAGGGGCGATACGAGCTGACGGCTCACCAGATGGTAAGTGAAACCGTCGCCCATAAACATCTGCAACACCAGGAATGTCACAAAGAGTCTCTAAAGTTTAAAACAAAAGGAAGCACTCACCATCAGTTGATTGATGTAGTACTCGTATGTAATGGTGTCGGTCACCGGGTCGAGCGCCGTCTGCATCATTTCTTCGTATTCCTCCTGCCAAATAATATAACTACATATTTTGAAATATCACTACAGAAGTAGGTAGCAGTGTGAATGCGTAACATTTATTAATTACACAGACCCACAAAAAAAGTACCCTGCGCGAAAGACCAGACTACCTGAACTTTATGTTTTCGGGGTCGCTGAGTCCAAATTTGGTGCCAGAATAGCGAAGTTGATTCGCGTATTTTCAGAAATCAGCAATAATGCTGAAAATTTAAGTTTTTCGTATAATATGGTTTATGTTGTTAAAAAAACGCACAGGACCACAAAAAAAGTACCCTGCGCGAAAGACCAGACTACCTGAACTTTATGTTTTCGGGGTCGCTGAGTCCAAATATGGTGCCAGTATAGCGAAGTTAGTTCGCGTATTATTATTTAATTGATACCACAAGTGGTTAGCGCTTTCGGTCTGCGATCGTGAAAGTTAAACAATTTTCTCGATAGCCGGTTTTAGAATAGGTGACCAGAAATTTTCCATCCGTTGGTAATCGCACGTTCCAAGCTAAATCTGCAGTCGTTATCACCCACCCATGCATTGAGCCCGCGTGGTGGGCCTCAGTCCAGTCTCCCTAATCCAACCATAGGGAAAGCCCAGCAGTTGGATTTGGGACACAGGCTAATGATATGACATAGCCTGGTAACATTTGTAAATATATCATAAAAAAAACCTGGGTAAATGGCTCGCCTTCTTCCAGCATAAGCTGAGAGAATCGCTCCTTAGTCAAATATCCTTTTCCCTCGGTGTCGAAATATCTAAAAGCGGCTAGTAGCATCTCGGCACTGGCTGGATAGTATCTGGAACAATTGAAATGTTTATATAATTTGGAAAACCTGGATCGAACCCTTTATTCAAACAACTACCATACTTATAACTGCGAATGTGAATGATGATGATACAGATATGATTTGAGTCTCGGGAACGTACATAGGATTGGAACTTTATTGTTCACTTCTCCGACCTTTTGATTAACATCTTAGACCCGATCAATGCCTTATGTAATGTAGCGTTCTGGCGTCCCTGAGGGGAGCACGGTTATGTAGGAGGGACGTATGTCTACGTGTATATACATTTTTATCCTATATTTCCAGTCGCCCCCAGAGGATTGCCGCCGGAAACAAATGGGAATGAAATCATGGCCCCCACTTTAGTGGCAATCCTCGCGGGGGCGACAGGGAATCCTCTTATGCATAGGAAGAAGATATGTATAGTGCGATTCAATCTTTATTACGGTTGTGAAGTTAGTAATGAGCGCAACGATGGGCAGATTTCAGTTTAGTGACATCTCGCGCGCACTGTATTACCGTACATTGAGTTTACTGCTGAGCCGCGAATTGTACTAACTTCAACACGACATTAAGTTTGAATTAAATGCTACTTAAATGTGACGTGAAAGTAACAAACCTGTGTTCCAACATAACTTTACACATGAACGGTAAGAAGTTGGCGAGTGGCACGTTGCCAGTCGCCTCTTTGTTCTCCGTCGCCAAGATCACCTCCTGAATCTCCGCTTCGGTTGGACAGCATCCTATGAAACAAAATAAATACGTTACTTGTCACGTCATTTTATGATTAAGTGTGAGTGGAGACGCCAAAATAGCTAGTGCCTTCACTTCAGGTGTGGCAGGGATCCTATATAGATACTTCAGGGCCGTAGCCAGGGTTGTATTTAAGTGAGGGCAGCGGTAATTACAGGTAGGTAGGTAAATTACAGGTAGTGCATATGCAGGGATGTGCCGCCATTCACAGCCTGCCGTCCCGTATTAAGGTAGGGTAATGGTATTTTAGGGTAGAGCATTGCCCCATAATGCCCCCTTCTAGCTGCTGCTCAGCACGCCATAGAAGGGGAAGATAATATAATATTTTTTTATTTAAATTCACTTTTATGATTTTGGCTTAAAACCTGATGATTCATTTGATCGATTTCGTACTGCTTTTATGGATGAAGGACCTTCAAAAGCAACCATCTACCGCTGGTGTAACAAGTTCAAACGCGGTCGTCTTACTTTGGGGGATGAACAAAGGAGTGGTCGTCCTACGACGGCTGTCACCGAAGAAAGTGTGCCGGCAGTAAAAAAAAAATTCAAGAAGACAGACTGACAAATTTCGTACGAAGCGATTCAGCATGCTCTGCAGATTGGTTCAGGAAGTGTTCACTAGATTTTGTACGAGCACCTTTGCGTAAGGAGGATAGTTTCTCGCTGGGTGCCGCACAACCTCACCGAAGCTCAGAAGCACGCCCGTGTGGATTGGTGCAGTGATATGATACAAAAATTTGATGCAGGCTCGTTACGTCACGGCGCGTTTACTCTATTGTGACAGGTGAAGAATCCTGGATGATCCAGAAACAAAGGGTTAGCCGACAGTTTTGCTGTTTCAAAATGAAGTCTACGAAAGTGAAGCGATCGAGGAGCGCAAGGAAAATTTTGATCGATAGTTTCCTCACTTTGACGGGGTACCTAATTTCAATTTCACTTCGAGACCAAAGCAGCATCAACGCCAAATGGTGTAGCACAAAATGCCTGCCAGAAGTTTTTTCTGAAATGAGTATCAAGCGACCTAACACCGAGCTGCGCGGGGTCCTTCTTCACCACGACAACTCGCCCGCGCACTCTGCGATCAAAACGAAGGGCTTCCTGGACTCCACATCAGTCAGATTCTTGGGACACCCTCCTTACAGTCCTGGTTTGGCTCCGGCTAAAATAAAAAAATCAGCTCAAAGGGATACAGTTTTGATCGCCGGAAGAAGCGCTAGCAGCGTTTGAGAAGGCCGTGGAAGAGGTATCTGCGGAGGACTGGAAAAAATGATTTGAAAATTGGTTCAGACGCATGAAACTTTGTATAGAGGCACGTAGAGAGTACTTTGAAAAGATTTAATAAAAATATTTAGTAGAAGTTAGTTTTTTAGTTCCTCAAAACTTTCCGAGTGTCCCTCATAGAGAAAACACATCATTTGCCTATTATTACCTTAGATTAAAACAAAAAGGGTAGATACGGTACGCTCTTACTTGCATCAAACAAAAACTGATCCCACTTTACTACATATGCAACACTCACACATCCACCTGTTTGTAAAGATACAATCGAACGAACGAAACAGCAATATAAGTTTCAACGGCAGCGTGAACGGGACGGCGAGATCCGCGTCACTGCGCTACCGACCAATCACGCGACCAGTACTCGAAGTCACTACAGAGTAGCGTCAGAGAAAAAAATAAAAGTATTTTTTATTAAATATAAGTTTTATTATTAAAATTCAATAAAAAAAATCCACATTGAGCAATTTTCAATCTACTTTGAAAAGCTGAGGGAATAAAACTGTTTACAAGTATACCTACTAAAAGTAGATTTTTTACATGATAACGTCAACATTTTTTTAAGGTATCTTATACTGCTGGATGTGGTCATTTTTATTGTATTCAGTGTTTAAAAGAATCTAATGGAGATACAATTTTTACTAGAAACTTTACACTTATTATATTTCAATACCAATCATAAACTGATTTGATTTGACACACATTATTATATCACCTGATAAAAAATCAGTTAACAAGCGTACCTACTAAAAGTAGGTCTTTTATACGATACCGTCAACAATTTTTTAACATACCTTGTACTGCTGGATTTGGAAATTTTCATCGTCTACAGTATTTAAAAGAATGTAATCCGAAACACTTATTATATTTCTCTTCTAAGCATGAATTGCTTGTTTTATAAATCTAATCTAAACTATACTTTAAATTATACATTTAAATAATAAAAAAATATAAAGGTAAAATTAAATAACAAAAACAATAATCATCATCGATAAATAAAAATAAACATAAGTTATGCCTTGGGCTTTATAACAGAAGTAAGAATCTTACTAGGTACCTACCTACTGTGTGGCAATAGGGTTGATGACAAAACCTTTTTTTCTTCGTCGGCCAGGTAGATTAATAAAAGTATTGGACAAGTATTTATTTCTTATTCACATAATTAAAACATTACAGAGATATGTTGATATGAAATTTCCCATGACGTCACGTCTTGGTACAATTTTTACTTAGAAGTGACTTTATAAGCCTTCTCTCCCAAACTTTCACGCGCTCTATCCTTTTGGTATTAGTTTCCAAAACATAGAACCATTCTAAATCGAAAGAAGTCTTAAGGTACTGACAGGTTAAGGGATGACTGTGTATAAAGAATATTGTGCCAAAAACCTGGCAATCAATTAACCCCGATTTTAATACACCATTGAAGAACACATTGTTCAATAATTTTCTCTACATCTATTACATTAAATACCAAACTGATTGATTTTCTTTTGTATTTGTTTTATTTCGGTAGTAAAATCGTTAATTCAATGAAGCTAAAGATTTGAAGATAATTTTATATATTCATGGACTGTTAGCGGTACGAATTTCGTCGGTTCAGCAGCATATTTACAAAAATATATGCATTACAAATATACTTATAAAAAAGATTATGCTAATTAGTTATGCCAATGCTCATGGTACAATAGTATTTACACACCAAAAAAGGAACAAATTATTTAATTTAAAGCACTTATACATAAAATTTGAAATCATTTTCCTTCAAATAAAGACAATTTGTTTCTCTTTTAAAATCAATCTAATTAAATTCATCTATCAAAAAGCGCAAGATAGAATATCTTGGCCACGTGCTCAGGAACGATAGATACATGCTGCTGCAGTTGATAATGATAGGCTAAGTGGACGGAAAGAGACGTGCTGGGCGAAGAAAAAAGTCGTGGCTCCCTAATATCCGGGAGTGGACCGGTATTGCCTCCGTCGAACAGTTGTTCCGGCTGGCTGCTGATAGAACTACATACAGGAAGCTAACGGCCAACCTTCAGGATTGAAGAGGCACTGGAAGAAGAAGAAGATTACAAAAACAATTTTAAACCCTACAAAGAATGAAAACGCCATTTCTGTAAGTACAGAGTATATTAAAGCTAAAATGTCTAAAAAAATAAATAAATAAACCTCTTCGAAGAAACCAAAATGTAATGAGTTTAATAAATGCAGCATATTTTTTACCTACATAAATTAATATTCCAAATTTCAAAAAAAATATTTCGTAATTTTTATATTATATATAAAAATTACGAAATATTTTTTTTGTTGACTCTACCCAATTTTTACTCTCGACTGACATTACAATGGCAAATATTCGCGCTTATGCTTTTTCTCCCTCATACAAACGTTTACAAGTGTTGTTGTCTTTTTCTTAATAACAAATACCGAATAAGATTCAAAACAAACAGCATTTTTATGAAAAAATATATTTTATAGTACTTACGAATGAAAAGTGATGCCGTCGGTTTTATTTTTAGTACTTGAGCAATTTGAGCACTTTTTAAAACAACACTTAGGCATTGTTTTATCTTAGAATCACAAAATTTTAGCAATATTTCTTTTTGACGTTCACATGTACGTCATTTGCATGTCAAGTTGTGACTAAAGCGATTGTGGCCTTGGGCCACAATTGATGCGGATCACTTTTGTGAGGCTAGTGCCGTATCTACCCTTTTTGTTTTAATCTAAGATTATTACCTCCATTGCTGGGACACAGGCTTACTTTCCGACAAAACCCAACCCACCAGACGAGCCTAGTGCGGATGGGTGGGTGCTAATAACGACTGCAGATGTAACAGGGACCAACGGCTGAACGCGCCTTCCGAAGTACGAACATTATTGGTCACTTTTTTCAAGCCCGGTACCCCTTGGCAAGTAGTTCGAAAATTACTTGCCAATCTTTCAAGACCGCAGACCAAATGTGCTGACCTCCGCACCATTGATGGCCTTAATGGCCTATTTTTTTAAGGGAAAGAGGTATTAAATGAAGGAACTCTTCAAACTACACTCGATTGATTGTTTAATATTAAATCAAAGTGTAAAAAACACGCAAACATAAATCGTGCTAAGAAAACCAACACATGCAGATGCAGAATATAAACCGAACAGCCTTATAAACAGTGTTTTTTCTACTGAGGTTTCTACAATAATTTCAACTGAATAATATGGGCGGTTGAGCGGGAGCACGGAGCGGACGTCTGCTCCGCAACGGGAATCCTGCCTCAAGCAGCGCTGCTCTTTAAAACAAACACGCGGAGCAGAGGACCGCTCCGTGCTCCCGCTTAACGCAGCGCAGGCGCTTAGTTATTTTAACAAGCTACTTAGTTTCACCAATTTCACCTAAAGAGCGAAGGATAGTCCCGATCTCTCTAACGTCCACAACTTGCTTCCCCGAGTGATCGAATACCTCAAATGCTTCTATTATTTTCTTCTCTAAGTCATTATTAGGCTGGACTAAAACATTCAAGTTTATTAATTTCTTTTAATTCTAGCTAAGAATGCTGTTATGGCTTTCTGAAAAACAAACAAATACTTTTAGGTTCTTCCTTACGCGCCATTATTTAGAAATATTGAGATTCGTAGTGTTAAAGTTAATGATAATTTCTTCTTCTAGTAGATGGTATCGTTCGTGTTTTCCACAGTTCCGCTAATATCACGTGTAGGTAATTTTTATTAAAAAATAATGAGATTCTTAGTGTAGTAAACACTATTGAGAATTTATTAAATCAGTTACGTAAGTGAATACTCAGAATCTACATAAATAGGTAGGTACAAAATATGTTGTTGTATGCTTTGTATGTAAACAAACTTCAATTACTAAGGCTCAGATAATGTCACATTGATTGTTTGTATCCAGGCAACGAATTTATTGGGCTTTAATCAAGCTTGGATAAAATTATGCAAAGTCCAAGGTCCAAGGGATTTTATATTTCATCATCATCATATCAACCGTACGACGCCCACTGCTGAGCATAGGCCTTCCTCAAGGATCTCCACACCGATCGGTCCTGCGCCACTCGCATCCATCGGCTATCCGCGACCTTAACATGATTGTCGGTCCACCTCGTGGGGAGCCCACTGAGCATCGTCTGGTGCGTGGTCGCCATTCAAGAACTTTTCGACCCCTTCGGACATCGGTTCTTCTCGCTACGTGTCCCGCCCACCGCCACTTCAGCAGAGCAATCCTTCGAGCAATATCGGTTTCTTTAGTTCTCCTACGGATTTCCTCATTTCCGATTCTATCACGTAGGGATACCGAGCATCGCGCTTTCCATTGCTCACTGTGTAACCTTGAGCCTTCTTATGAAACCCGCAGCAGACCACGTTTCGCTTCCATAGGTCTTCACTGGCAACACATACTGGTCAGACTTTGTCTTGAGACACTAAGGTAATTTGGACGCGAAGATTTTCCATAATTTCCTGAACGCGAGTAGCGTTGTCGTTTCTCGTCGTATCCGACGAGACACCTCTTTCACAAAGTTAGACTTACCTAACTGACGACTGTCTGTCCCAGGTTAACGTAATGGTCAACAAGTTCAAGTGTAGTGTTCCCAATTTTACCTTAACTGGAGCGGGTGTAGTAATTTCAAGTATAGTGTTCCTAATTTTAACATGGGCTTTCGAAATAATTTTCGTCTTATCCATATTCATCTTAGACGCACTCCAAGGCTTAATATTGAAAAGAGGTAAATAATAAATAATAATAAATATTTCCAACACTCACACCAATTAGCCTAGCCCCAAAGTAAGCACTATAAGGCTTGTGTTATGGGATGCTAGGGTAACGGATAGAATACATAAACTGTACATATATAAGTATATTTTTATAGAAAATACATATTAAACATCCATGACTGGAGTTCAAATGCTCGTATTCATCACACAAACATCTGCCCCCACCGGGACTCGAACCCGGGACCTCTCGAGTCGGCAACACCATGAAACCCGGCGTACAAACCACTCGACCACGGAGGTCGTCAAAGATCAAATGGGGCAAGCGTATAATTTGAATCAAACAAAACATCTTCGTTCTTCTTCTTTACTCTATCAGAAGACAGACAGACACCACACTAGTTAGCCAGATTACTATACTAGACAGAAATTAATAAATAGCCTCTCTTCTCCAAAATCGGCGCCACAACGTCCATTAACCCTACAAAAAAAAAGATTCTGTGTCTTCATTTCCGGCTTTAGTGATGCACCATGATTACATGGTCAGTCCATAGATGACCCCCTGTCAAGTACGTCCATAGTGCAAACCTAATGCCGGCAGTCCACCTGACTATTCGGGTTTGCTATTTGTAAACTTCATAAAAGTTGACAACAGCCTGTCCTGATCATGTATGCTTTCCAATTACAGAGCATAATGCGACTCACTGCCGCACAATGCCCAATTATGCTGATGCTTAATTGGAACGTGAATTAGTTTTCAAATGCACCAGCAGAGTGCGCTAAGTTCAGTGTTGAAAAAAAAAGTCAATGTTTGTACCTTCATCCATACTTATATTTATTTATTAACAGTTTGAATGAACTTTGATTATTTAAAAAAAACTATTTAATGAAACGAAAGCTTTAATAATTTTTCAACAATAAATAATATTACTAACGATAACATATATATAAAACATTTCGATCAATGCCAACTTAAAGAAAAAACACTTGTTAATTTTCTTTCTCTAAGTTGGTACCATTGCACGCATCACACGAAAGCATCACTTTTGAGAGTGCTCAATTGTGCGAAGCGTTGCTGTAGTTGGAACACTCAACATTAAGCATTATGCCGCATAATGCGCAATAATGCTGTAATTGGAAAGCAACCTTGGTGTCAGAAGTGCAAGACCTATAATGAATCCGTCGGGTCAGTCAGAAGAACGAAAACATAAAACCAAAATCAACATGCCGGGATGCAGTAATATGACGATGACTGGTAATCTCGCGAACAATTGGAGAAAATGGTATCAATCATTCAAATTATATTTAACAGCATCTGGTTTAGACGAGGAGAGTGACCAGCGAAAAGTCGCAATTCTACTCCATCTCATCGGAGCAGAATGTCTCGAAATTTTCAATTCGCTCCAGAAGGACGAAGAAAATATTACTTTCAAAGAGTTGGTTACACTTTTCCAAAATCATTTTGTCCCAAAAACTAATGTCACATTTGAATGTCATCAATTCTTCACATACAAGCAGTCAGAGGAGCAGACCATCGACCAGTTCGTAACCGAGCTAAAGGCAAAAAGTCAAAAATGTGATTTAGGCACACTCCAAGAGCGACTCATAAAAGTTATGTTTATATGTAATATGCACAGCAGATACAATGATGTCCGAGAAAAACTCCTTTTGGATGATTCGCTTGACCTGGATAAAGCTGTTCAGATGGCTAAAGCTATGGTGATTACCAAGAACAGAGCTGAAGTCTTACAATCAGATCAACCATCAATATTTAATATCCGAAGTCGATCTAAAAATGAAACTAGCTCTACAAGGTCCAGATCAAAGTCCAGATCGTCACAAAGTCGCGATCAACAAGTCTGTGGAAGATGCGGACAAAAACACAGAATCAAGTGTCCGGCAACCAAGGCAAGATGCCGCAAATGTCGTTCTATTGGTCATTACGAGGTCATGTGCAAAACCAAACGAGTCAATCTGATGCAGTCAACGTCAGATGAACATAAAGAAGATGACATGCGTCACGAAAATTCATTTTTCGTTGGACATCTTCAGTCTAGAAAAACAAATGGAGAATGGAAAATTGACCTGCAGATTAACGATAGAACAGTCGAAGCTCTACTGGATACTGGTAGTGACTTGAATGTTATGTCTCTGGAAACCTATCGATCACTACAGCTGCAAGAAAATATGTCGCCGTGCAACATTATTGTAACGTCATACAGCGGTGATAACGTCAAAATCATTGGGCAACAAAATATTTTATGTCATTTCAGTCTAAATCGTGATTTTTCTAATAAGTTTATTTTATTTGTCATTGCAGATGTTAGTTCGCCAACTGTACTAGGCAGAAGTACTTGTTCGGAAATTGGTTTTATCAAAAGAGTTTTGTCTATCAATCAACAACAAACATCAGGCAGTCAAATTAAAAACAAAACGGTCAGTAAGTCAAGTCTATTAACGAAGTCGATGTCAGACAACAATAACAATAAGTCAAAGTCAAACACGATAAATTTTAGTAAAAATTGTCAAAATAATTTAAGTTCTTTGCTTGAACAATATAAATCAGTCTTCGTGGGTCTCGGTTGTATGCCAGGCGAATGCCATATAAGTATCAATCCAGAGGTGCGACCGAAAATTGATGCGCCACGAAAAGTCCCATTTGCGTTGTATGACAGGCTACAACAAGAATTAGATAAAATGGAAAATATGGACGTCATCACAAAAGTGACTGAACCAACAGACTGGGTAAGTTCACTTTTGTTAGTTGAAAAAAAAGAACGGGCAACTTAGGGTTTGTCTAGACCAGTGGTTCTCAAACTTTTTAAATGACGGAACCCTTTTGGGAAGCAAAATACTTGATGGAACCCTACAATAAAACAATTATTTTTATAAGTGTATTCTATATTAATCAGCATAATAAAAGTACAATGTATCCGTTACTAATTATTATTTACTTCACCACTTGGTAAGGACAATAATAGAAAACATTAAAAAAGAAAAAATCTAACTAGTGGGAGGTATGAAACTGTTTTTTATTTTTCATCAATTGCTTGATATCAGGTTTGATGGAAGAAAGTTGGAGTCTCATATCAGCTTCGGCGTCCAGTCTATTGCGATATTTTGTTTTCGTGGCTGCGTAGGTAGAGAATCCTGTTTCGCACAAATATGTAGTTGGGAACGGGAGAAGAATATCCAGAGCCATTTGGCCAAGCATTGCATATTCATCTTGGATTCTGCACCAAAAATCATTAAGAGGCGTCGTTTTGAACAATGACTCCATACTTGTGTCTGATGACATTTCTAAAAGAGATTCATATATCTCATTTGACATGTTTTCAGGCTTTTCCAAGTTGGGTAAAAAAGGATTATGAATCCAGGAGTTCACTTTAATTTTTGTATTGTGTTCTTCGGGAAAATACTTTTCAAAAGATGCGCGCATCGAACTGAGATATTGGACCAATTCTTCAAACACATTATCTTCAAACATTTCTGAGTCGTTTTCGCTAACAAACTCAGTGAGTAACGTAAAACTTTCTATTTCTTTCTTACCAATGCAAATGATCCAAAAATCTAATTTTCTTTTAAAAGTAGTTATTTTATTATAGGCCTGAAACACTGTTGTCTGTTTACCTTGCAATGATAAATTTAATTCGTTAAGTTTTTGAAAGATATCCGCCATAAAAGACAATCGGAACAACCAAGTTTTATCATACAAACGGTCCTTCAAATTAAAAGAAGTATCTGCTGAAAGAAACATTTGTAACTCGGCTCTAAGTTCAAATAGCCTTGTTAAAGTTTTTCCCCGAGACAGCCATCGCACTTCTGTATGGAGCAGCAGTGTTTTATGTTTGCTGCCATAATCTTCACACAATAATGAGAACAATCGGGATTGTAGTGGTCGTGATTTGATAAAATTAATTATTTTTACCGCTTCATCCATAACTAATTTTAGATTAGACGGCATTTGCTTCATCACAAGTGCTTGTCTATGCAGAATACAATGACTGGAACTACAATTAGGCGCTTTATTTTTCATTCGTGACACTGCTCCTGCTGTTTTACCTGTCATCGCCTTGGCCCCATCTGTACAAATGTCAATGCAATTGTTCCAACTGAGATTATGTTCTTCA